ACATTGAAGAGGGGTAGATACTCCTATTTCTCCGTCTAGCTTTACTTTAACAGATCTATTAGTCAGGAAGGAGGTGACCCATGCTACAAAGCTATGCGGCCATCCTTGCTCTCAACCTCTTGATCAGGCGGCCAGGAAGTACTGCGTTGAAGGCGCCCTTAATATCTAGCGTAAGGAGGGAGGCCTCCTGTTTGTCTACCAGTGCCTTCTCAATGTCAAAGGTAAGGCAGGTAGTAAGGTCTGTAGCAGCTCTTAGAGGGAGGGCTCCGAACTGGTTCGGCCCTAGAACAGAGTGCTTAATAGCCATCCATGAAGCTCTCTTTGCAAGAAGCCTTTCAAGCCCCTTTCCTAGCGAATAGTATTATCGTTTCGTATTTGGAAGAGAGTCTGGCAGCGATAGCATTAGCCCTGGCTCAGAGATCATACAGATGATCTGTTCCAAGAATCCTTCTGCAAATCTAGCAACACTAGGCCAAATATATCTTTTGAAGTACTACACGCTTTGAGGCTGTCTCTTCACTGCGCTACGGACTCCATTTTTTAGCCCCTTTATTTTGTCAGGGATTTGATATTTACTGCCGTCTGAAGGTTTCCCACAAGATTTTGGGTTGTTTAGACATGAATGGGAATCCATCCCGCTGACAAAGGCGCTGAAGGCAGCTTCTTCCGTTTGTGAGAACACTACGATTATATATATATATCTTGTAAATGGTGCTGCCTCATTAACCATTCATTGATAAATGGCGAACAAGGGAATATCATTTTCTTGATCTGAAGATCACAGACTCTCTCTGTTGTCGCTTAGTTGGGGATTGTTGCAATACTCAACACGGTCTAAATATTTTCTAAGATTCTGCTCAGCAGATAATTTACAGGTTGTCTAGGATAGAGAGTGAGAAATAAGTAGTTCTTGACTTTGTTGCTTATCTTGAAGTATGGGCCGGAGTCCTCCAGGACATTCCGTATCTGAGAAGCACTAATACTGGGAATATCATACTCAGACAGAGCCCGACGAATATCGTGAAACACCATCCAACACCAACGCGATCGATTACCAATTGGAGCAAAGCTAATCCACCTGCTGAAAGAGTGCATCGAACAATATTGAGAGCTGCTTGTGCACTGGTGGGTGATCTTGGGTGAAGGTCGACGAGTAATGTGCCACATAACTGATAAAAGTCAACGAGTGATATTTTACATTATGTAAAAGCGGGGTTGATTTACGTTATAAACCACAGAAACCATCGCCCCAATCAAAAATTGCAAGATCAACGGAACTGCAACAGACTTGGAAATCATTAGTAGCTTTGGTTTTTGTATGCACATATTGAACTCACAACATGGGTTTGGAGTGCCCAATCATAACCCGCGATGCATGCACTGCTGATCGGTATCGGATGACATATACTACGATACCGGGCTTTCTCAATAGGAAACCGAGTCATCGCCGGGGAATTTGTCTATGACAAAATCATGATCTTTGGCTGTCCGTTTGTAGTCCCAATTCATAACTTTACCTGTATCTCGTCAGTGGAAAGGCTATCGTAGGAGCGTTGTCTTGCATAAACTGATGTAAAAGTACCAGAGAAGAAAGAAGCAAGAGCACATCCTGCCCCGAAAGGCAAGTAAATAAGTCCCGCTTTGAGCTTGTTGAAACCGTAGAGCTCAATGAAGAGTGATGACATGTAAGCTTGAATGCAAAAAATTCCGTTTACTAGAACAATGAGAGATGTGCTTTTGTTGAACAGAAGTTTTAAGCAACTGACATGATTTGGGATGTGAAACTTCCTCTTTTGAAGGGGTTCTACATCGTTATCCCTTGGTCTCTTCATGTGGCGTTGGCAGAAGAGCGAGAAGAGAGGCTGATATTGCCAATCTGTTGCGATACTGCTATTGCCTACGATGGGACGACATGTTTCTGGGAGCAACAAGATTATTAGAAACAGGCAAAATCCGGAGAGAATGGCGAGAAACTAGAATACCTACTACTAACTGACGTATTCTGACAAGACGCCTCCCAAAACCAGGCCTAAGCTAGGGGCAATATTTGGCCTGCAGCAAGCAGTTAATTTCATCACGAAAGATTTCAAACCACTAACCCACAAAGCACTGCACCAACAAAAGATCCACTTTCTGCAGGAGTTGCAATATCTGCCACAATACAATAGGCAATCGAAATCATGGCTGACTTTTATTTTAGTAGTTACCTCCCATAGATTATTAATAACGGTGGGTGTTTCTACCCGAGCTACCAGCACTCTGAACCATTCTTGGAACCAACAGAGCTAATCAACTCCGCTGCAAGGGCAGCCGCACATTCGCGGCACAATATATCGAGATTTTCAAGATATAAACCCATCGACGACCGGTAATGTCTGCTAGATCTCCAATGATAACTGGTGCCACCCCTGAAACAACCATGTGAGACGTGATTGTAAGATAGATCAACTCTATCGAAACATGAAGATCCTTAGATAACGAAGTGATTGCGGGGTAGTAAATAAAGCTGCTGAGTGGAGAAAACATGCCAGCGAAGGCGACCAAAAACACAATAAGCCTTTACTGGCTTTTGGTAAAGGAGGAATATGGTATGGGGGCTACTGTTGCATTCTTTTCTGGACCGATCAGCATATTTTGGCTGTTAGCTGGAATTGTTTCAGCAGAACCACCGGCTGTTCCCTTCTCAGTGATGGCCAAGGACATTTTGAAACGATTCAACACAGAATAGTTCCAATATTGCGACGTGTGCAGATAGTATAATTATTTGTATGAAGATATGGCTCGGAATCGACGTTGATCTTTTGATGAGAAAAGTGAATTCTATGAGATTACAGTATAATCAGGTTACTCAAAGATCACTGTGCTGAGCCTCATCTTGAAAGCATAGAGGACATGTGACAATGATTGAGCCGCCATCAGGTTACATAGGCCAGGTAATACAGGCTCTTTTCATAATTGGCCACTAACCCTGGGTACTAACCAACAACACATAGCCACATTTCTAAAGCCTAATTCTCTACTCGCAGAGGTTGATCTGAAAAATTAGTAATCTTATGGTGCTGAAAGCATTCTCTGCACCATTATTGAACACTCGGTACATTTCCAGTGTTTGTTGCTCACTTGTATTACATGGCTGGTGGTAGTGAACATGAACTCGTGGCAGAGGCAGCGGCATGAGAGAATTTGGTCAGAACCACTAGTCGCAAATATATATCATGGAGCATAAAATTTGGCCATAATGGTGTTTATTTCAACATTGACTGCCTGAATATTTCCATTCACCAGCATTTATGAAGGTGTGATTGCAACTACTGTTAGGGTTTGTTTACCGTACTGTTTGTCAAGAATAGTTTGACTCAAACCCCCATTCTTAAAATTCAGGGCCGCCATTCCGTACCGTAATACCACGTGTGGACAACGTGTGTCTGGAAGCTCAACCATACAAAACTGCACCTCGCCATGGCCCTGCAGCTTCGTGGCGGATTCGACTGCATACAGTTCCTCACGGGAAAATCTCACCCACCCGCGGGGTGTAAGATGACTCTCTGAATCGGGAAGAGGAAAGAGGAATAACGAAAGGTATTGTTCCACGCCTGCAACAAGTACGACCACGAGCAAGTAGACATAACGAAAGGATGAGCACGATGTACGGTGCAGAAGCTGTTACCTAGTACTTATAGTTTTACCTAAGGCAAGTAAACTGAGACCTTACAAAGGTCTACCTCAGTATTGGCTATCATAGAGCTTAGTCTTTCTTCCGGTATTGCTCTGAGTTCGTTGACATATTTGTTCGGAACCACCAACATATCATTACTGTTGATCTTGAAGAAGCCATCTTTGTACTGAGAGGTATGTCAATTCCTCGCTAAGTTTAGACCGGAACAATCAATATTCAGGGACTGCGATAGATGAAGTGACTATCTTCTGGTTATTAATGGTGGTATGCATTATTATCTTGTGCTTTCTGGAAGGGCTTTGGAATATTCACATCCTCAAGAACTGACCACAGGTTCATCGCTACAGCCGGCACTTGACTTTTGAAAAGAGTTGTGCTACTAGTCGGAGCGGCTTGGAATTCTTACCACATGCAGTTCAAGCGCTTTGAATCATTGCAAAGAAGATATGAAGGGAAGCATTACGTATCTCCTTCTCGGTACAGGAAGCGGGTAAAGGACGTGCCCGCAGCGGTTCATTGTGAAAAGCCGTCCACCAAACATCACCTACCGCATTGAGGCTTCAGGGCTACGTTACTCACTTATGAGAGGCACGCAAAATCTGAGTGAGAGGGGAGGAGAGAGGCCGGGTGGAGTGAACAAGTTTCACGCATATGCAAGCGCCCACCCTCCCTCAGAAGGGTTTTGTTTTTTTCGATGCCATGGACAAGTCAACTTCCTTTTCAGGTGGTTCCATTTGAGAAACCTACCAGGGAATTTAGCAGGGCCGAATGAAAGAGTCAACTTGCTGTCGGTTGTTGACACCCTTGCAAGGTAAATTGAACTCAAGTTTTACTGTTTTGGGCTGGGTTATTGTAATCTTAGGCGGAGCCTGCCCCTGCACCCTACCCGGCATAGAGGGTCACCAATGTGCCTTACCAACGGATTACGTTAGATTCATTGCAAACACTGAGCGGGCAAGGAGAATCCAGTCTGTTACGACAACTAAAACAAAATAGACAACAAAATATTTCTCAGATCAAGAACTCAGAAGGTACAGTACAAGTCAATTTCACTTGATGCAATGGCCGCAGATAATGAAAGCCAATCTGTTCTGACGTGAAATATTCATTCGGTTGATGAAAAGGGTGAGCTCCAAGATGAAGCCACTGCGAATCCCTCCACCATGCCAAAAAATCCGGAGAAAATTGTAGCTGGGAAACCCAGCTCAGACGTCACCGCCAAGAGTGTAGGAAGCAGTCCACCGTCAAAAGAGCGTAAGATATTTGGCACCAAGCTGCGTGAGTCTCCTTCACTATAGTACTCCACAGGAAATTGGAAGTAATTGTGATGTCGACGCTAGTGGGTATTGATCGTTCTGGCTATTTTTTCGAATCTTCTTTTTTATGCCATCGACAATACAATAGTAGCGGTTATCCAACCTGTGAGTGCATTTTCAACCATTTAAAGTCACAGTGATTTACTTTTTTCAGGTCATCGTTCGTGAATTTGGGCAAGTTCAAAATTTATCATAGATATCAGTCGGGTACATTGAATACTTCCTTCTGAAGTTGTTGGGAAATGTTCACTAAAATATCTTTGAAAGGTTTCTGATGGCCGGAACGGCAACGACTTTGGTCAACGGGAAATTGTTTGGCGCTTTTAATGCAAAAACACTTTCTATCCCCGTAAGAAAAACACACTGGGTGGAATTTTGAGCCAAATTGGGTTTCTAATTCATAGGGATATTAGTTTTCTCTGGTTTTTCTGGTCGGTTCTGTCGTCTGTGGAGCTGCAAAAGGTTTGCCGACTCTAATAATCGGACGCGTTATTGGTGGCGTCGGGGTAGTCAAAACCCGCCTCGTATAGGGATTCAAGAAATAGCTAACTTCTTCGAGGGAACTGGAATGTACCTCGGAGCACTTACGCTGATTTCCGTTAACACAAGTGCCAAGGAAACCCCTGCGTATATGGGATATCTGTGAGAGACTTCAATACTGGCCCCAACCTTTTCACATACACTGATCTCTTGTATAGTGCCCTAGTCTGAGGCTTTGGGTCCGTCATTGGTCCATTGATTGGAGGTGCCTTTGTTGACAGCAAAGCAACATGGAGATGGGTAACTTTGTCTCCCACTTATGCCCGCGCAGCTGTCATTAACCCAATGCTAGGGTGTTAACGTTCCCGTTATTGGAATATTCATCCCTATCTATTTATATCCAGTGCCCGCTTATAATCCACAGCCTAATTCCAGTATCATGTCCAAAGTGCGCCAAATCGATTGGATTGAAGCTCTGATGATCTCTGCTGCTTTCGTTACGGGTATCATGGCTTTCAACTTTGGTGGTACATTATACACCTGGAACAATGGCCAAATAATCTCGCTATTTGTTGTATCTGGAGCCTGTTTTATAACTTTATTCCTTCAGCAATACTTCAAATTTATGACTACCCATGCCCTTAGAGTTCTGCCAATTCACTTGTTCAGGGTTAGGGATATGGCTTTGTGTTTCGTTTGTCAAGGTAAGAGAGCATGCCACCCACTTGATTACAAATCTCTGATAGCTGTTTAGTTGCGGTCGCTCTGATCGTTCCAGTACCTCTGTATTATTTACCAATATTCTTTCAATTAGCAAGAGTATGTATTCCAGCCCTAATTTTCAAAGAATACTAGCCAACGGGAGGATAGGGCGACTCCGCGTTGAGAGCAGGCATAAAAACACTACCTTTAATTTCAACCTGGGTAACTTCCAGCGCATTTCGCGGAAGAATGATGGGCAAACTAGGCTGGTATCAGCCATGCTATATCGTTGGTAGTATACTAAACATTCTAGCGGGTGTCTTTCTATGTACGTGCTACCTGAAGCTGAGACACAATACCCCCACAACAATGCTGATATATGTGGTGTGCGAAACAGCACGCATAAATATCGATACATCAAATGCAGTCATTTACGGCTTTCAAATTCTGTCTGGAATTGGCACTGGGTGCTATGGACAAACCGGCTTTGCCGTAGCACAGCAGCTCGTCCCTCCAGCTGATATCCATCGCAGCATTTCCTTGATGCTAATTGGTAAGACTTGAGGATCAATACTGTACAGTGTGATAAGAGTGTTCTAATACTCTGGAGTCTAGCTCAGCTATCTAGGACAACACTTGGACTAGCACTGGCCGGTGCGATTTTCCAAAATGTGTCCCTCTCGCATATTCGAGCAATTTTGCCAAATCTATCTACGGCACAGCTCAGCCGTATTATCACAGACGTTGGAAGCATTGATGAGGTTGAAATCAATGAGTCTGACCGAATTCGGGTTTTACACTCGCTTGCAACTGCTTCGGCTGATACGTATGTATACCAGAAATCATTCTCTATTTCCCAACTTCTGTGCTAATTCCAATTTGAAGATACACCTTGATATATGCAGCCGCAGGCTTGTTCCTAATCTGCTCGCTTTTTTTCACGGTGAGCAAAAGAATACTTTTGTTAAGCTAATGTATATCTAACAGAACCCTCCAACCTCGAAAACTCTGGTAAAAATGGGCTCCATTTGGTGATAATGGTTACCGTGAACCCGATGCATTTTCAATTTTATAAAAGGAGGTAAATTGTTATTATTTGGACCCTTGACGCGTTACATCTAGACACTACGTCTCTTCAACATAATCTGTTGTGATATACTGACTTGATTTTTCTCCCCTTTTACCACATTTTGTGGTCGTTTAATCTGACCATTTGGATGAGAAATTTCAAACTCCAGTAATAGAACCATTAACAACAATTTGATTTGAGCACTGGCCCAAAACCGCCCCGGACATGCAAATTTCCCGACGCCCCAAGAAGGAACATCAGGGCTCAATGAAGCGAATTGATGCTTCTCCTCTTGCCCCTTTTCCTGTCGCAATTTTTAGAATCGAAGACCATCAAAAGCCTCCGGCTCTGGAAATATTTCGGCATCATGTATCATAGGGTAATGCGACATCGAAAGATATGTTGATGCGGGGAGTGTGACACCGTTGGAGAGTGTAAGTGGGACAGCAAGTCGTCTGTGAAAGGTCACTATACATGATTAGTGACGGTTCCGAAAGAAAAGAGTCAGAAGCATTTCGTTTGGCATACTTAATCCAGATGTGTTAAGGCGGTTAGACTCCTTGATAAAACTGTCCGTCTTTTTTAGACTCGAAATTGTTGCAAGTTTAAGGCCACCATGTGTTTTTATTGACTCAAGCATCTCGTCCCTCAACATATTAATATAATCTGGTCTTGCACACAGATCCAATATGGTGCTGGTCGCGGCTTCTGCACTCGTGTGGATGGCTGCCATGTTGAGAAATAACATTCGTTTCACAACTTGATCAGTCTCTTCGTCACGACCCCGCGCTGTATCGACCAACCATTGCAACATATCATTGTGTCCTTTCCCATCATCTGGATAGCGATTCTCGAAACGTGGAAGTAACAGTCTACGAGCTACTGTGAAACGAGCACGAATTTGGCGAACAGAGGTTAGGAATGGAGCGACAAATGGGTGAAATACTCGAAAATAGGCCTTCGAATCATTCATCACGTTATAAACACTAATTCAGAGATTATTAGTATTTTTGCAATCATCATTCTTCATGTCTTGAGTAACTTACTCCATCGTATAGCCCGTTGCTGTTGTCAGCCATTCCGGGTCTCGACAAAGTTCTGGTCCAACAAAAACACGAGCTGAAGCACTTGTAATAAGTTCAATTGTGGAAAAGAACAGTGGTAATGAGGATTTATCTTGTGTGAGCGTATCTCGTCAGTAAAGCTATGGTAAAACATGGTGATCACTACGTAACATCTTCACTGCCCACTTTTTCAAGCTTCTGATTCAGAGCAAAAAGAATTTCATCGCACACTGGCTGAGCAAGTCGGCCTAGTTCATTCGTTATTCATGAGTTGATTTAAAAGACAAGATCGGAACATTCCATGCCTTACTGATGTTTTGAGAAAGCTGGCTAGCGCAAACGATAAACTGAAGATCACCTTGTTCTACAATATCCATTCCAGTATCCTGCGAAAGTACTCAACGTCAGTGGCGTGAAGTTCCAAAAAAAGAAGAATAAATAAATCAAAACCACCCACCTCTCCAGCATGCCTTATTGTGGCAGTCACCTGCAACTCTGAGCGAGATAAGGTACCGAAGTCTTTCATGAACTTCCGAGACACAATTACCCTGTCCATATCTGTAGTCCATAATGAATAAAGACCATCTTTGTACTATGTACTAGTCAGCTGATTTACCCACACGTGACTACGAGCAACGATCGTAGCCTTCTTTCACGAGTTCGAGACTGTGACTATAAAAATAACTCTTGGTTGTATTTCCAAAAACCCCTGGCTTAGGACCAACTCGAGGAATATCTGGTCTTTTTCGCGACCAAATAATAACATCCTGGAAGAGCAAGGTACAGAAAATGAAGGCGCCCACAAACGAAGTAATAACAACCGCAGCAATCTTCGCTAAAGAGCTCCCCTAGGATTTGTGAGGTAACAATGTCGACGAACCGTTTCTGATACTCGTAAATATGCTTTATTTCAGTCGCCTCGCAGTAAATATTAAGAGGCAGCGACGTTGCTAAGGAATTCGTCGGGTGGCGTGGAATGAAACGTCATTTGATAGACGGTACGAGAATATGATACACTGCTATCCGCACCCCTACTAAAATCCCAGGGAGGTTAGAGTATTATTGCAACCAACAACTTATATTGCACGTTCTGGTGATTGATAGGTAGGCTCGGTTTGGGGTGTATGCAATTGAGTACCGATACCGTATGCACTGTAGCGGCCAGAAAAACTCATCCCCGAGACTCGATGTGGTGCTCTTGAATGCCACGAAACCACGTATTAGTTTGGTACTTGAAATGCACCTACGAGGCGTAAAATGAGGCAGATGAAGACACGTGCATGTACGATGTAAGACCCTTGTTAGGTTGTTGCCTCGCTAGATCTTGTCGGAGAGTTTTCCTCCTCAAGAATTTCTGCAAGGCGGTTTCGTGGCTTACAGTACGAAAGAAAGTCCTTGTATGGCTAACCGGAAGAAGATCTTTCGTCTCTCGGACCATCACTTCCGTTTATGGCAAGAAATTCTTTGGCAAGATAACTTTTACCTGGTATCTTAGCGAGGCCTAGGCCTGGATAGAGACATGAGAATGGGGTGAAGATGTCCACTAAATATTTGCAGAATCGTGTTATATCAGCACATAATTAGAGTGTGAGTTTTTCTGTTTGCTCGGGGTCCCATGCGCTGCGAAGAAGTGACTGTGAGACATTATAAATCGACTCCTTTCTTTAAGCGAGAACACAGAGTCCACCATGGACGACAACAGGGAACAGGTTAGCTACGAACAACAAACACGTCTCATCCTGTCCGGATTGACAAATGAATCTATCCGGCCATGTGGAAGTGGTTCCATGTCCCCTTCCGTATATGACACAGCGTGGGTATCAGTGATCTCACAGACAACTACATATGGAACATTTTGGGGGTTTCCAGAGTCCTTCCAACATGTTATCAACACACAGCAGACAGATGGTAGTTGGCATTCGTATAACCCCTAGGTAGACGGTATTCTGAATACAAGCGCTTCACTTCTCGCTATCATCAAGTACAATTCAACACAGTATGAGAATCGTAGAACTACCTTACCTGGAGATATCAGCCTTCGTATCGAGTTGGCACAAATAAGCCTAAAAGAGCAGCTTTTGAATTGGAATGTCGATGCTTGCGACCATGTTGGGTTTGAGTATCTGGTTCCTGCACTTCTGACGATGCTAAGAGACCATAACACCGAATTTGACTTTCCTGGAAGTCATCGCCTCCTGCAGCTCCACAAGGAAAAGCTAAGTAAGTTCAAACCTGAGCGGATCTATCACTCTGCAAGTACCGCCTTACACTACTTGGAAGCTTTTGTTGAGAAATCGATTTGGACAAAGTTGCGCATCAGAAAACAAATGGGAGCTTTATGGCTTCGCCAGCCTCTACGGCGGCATATTTGAACAACGAATCGGCTTGGGATCCACAATGCGAACGTTATCTGAGAAATATTTTAATTGAAGGGTCTGGGAAAGGGAACGGAAGTGTGCCATGCGCCTTTCTGACAACCTTATTTGAATTGACTTGGGTACGAGGACACCATTTCCCGTTGAATAACTTTAGCTAACGACTTCCAGGTCGTGCCTGCACTTCTGAAAGCCGACTTTTCTGCTCAATGTCTGGGATAATATAACTTGAGCCCTCTACAAGAAATCCTTGAGAAGGGTCTTGCACCTAACAACGTGATTGGATTTGGTGAGAATTTCAAAAAGACCTAAGGGAACAAAGAACTGACTACAACTCTATAGCCCCGTTGTTGCTTGCCGATGCTGATGATACGGCAAAAGCGATATTGACAAGCACGCTCCTTGGCAAGCCTGTTAGTCCAGACCAAATAATTGGAATTTTTGGACACCCACTTTCAATCTTACGCAAACGAGCGGACAATCAGCTTCACCACCACCTGTAATGTTTTGAATGCGTTTCTTCCCCTCTGGGAACTCGGTGTCAGACATTTCCTGACACTGTACGGAAATTCCTAACACCGTCCTAATTAGGTATTAAAAAGTGGGGATTTAAGGACTAAAAAGTGGGCTTCTAGGGACAGAGGGTACTCTAGAGACTATTATACTTCTAGGAGAGTTTAAGCGTAACCTAAGCGTTCCGTGAGCTATCTGTCTATATTATAGAGCCTTTCCCCCTCCCTTTACCTCTGTAAGCCACCTGTAAGTACTTCGTTTTCATCTATCCCTCTCCCTCCCTACCTGTAAGTACTTTTCTACTTTGCCCTCCTGTAAGTCTCGACTTCTATTATACCCATGTACCCCCCTCCTCCCTTCCCCCTCTCTCTCTCCCTCCCCTGCCTATAAACAAGTAAACCCGTGAACTCGTAGAGTCGTAGATAAAGAACTACGTCTTTGGTCGGATATTTAAGGTTTTGAGNCCCCTCTCTCTCTCCCTCCCCTGCCTATAAACAAGTAAACCCGTGAACTCGTAGAGTCGTAGATAAAGAACTACGTCTTTGGTCGGATATTTAAGGTTTTGAGCCCACCGTTGGTGTCAGGAAAAGTGCGCGTTAGGGAAGGCTTTGTACCCCGGGTCGGCCCGCTGGGTGTCTGGTATTTCCTGACGCAGTTCCCAGAGGGTTCATCTCCCGAACCCACTAAAGTACATTGATGAGGTGGACATAACAACAATCTTCCTTTGCAAATCTTGGGCAGCAGGAAAGGCAAATGACAAATGGGTAAGACTTCATCTCACTTCTCACATCGGGACACATTTTAATTATTTTTACCATAGAATCTTTCCATACAATATCCAATGATGTTTCTAGCTCAGACATTTCGAAAAATGCTTGTACTTTGGGACGATGGTCAGTTACCAGATCTGAAAGAAGCAATACTCCAAAATAAAATACCGTAGGCGCTCCTTCAAGTGCTCCACCGAACACTGCATCGGCAGAATTCAGATGGATCATGGGGCACCCAAGACATATGCGAAACAACTGCTTATGCTCTACTCACACTTGTGTTGATCTTTTCGACTTTCCGTGGTTTGAAGGATTCGCATCAAAGATTACTGAGAGTCTCCAGGCAGGCAGGAAATTCTTGGAACAATCGCGTTCTAGTTGGGGAGATCCCAATTAACTGCGGATCGAGAAGGTTACCTATAACTCTAGCGTACTCCCAAGCACCTACTGCTTGGATGCCAGTCACGCAACAGGTCGTCTGCTACACTCTCCATCTCATGAATGGAAGTCGGCAACGAAACGCTTGGTAGATACCCTGGAAAAGAAAGTGAAAATGTTGTCTGCCTTTTTTGCCGGAATACTACCGTTCAAGGTCCAACCGTCCTGGAAGCTCCAAGCTTCCTTGGTTGAAGCTTATATGTTCCTGCCGCGTGTCATTTGTGATGATGCTCACTGTATATTAGCCCTAAGAACATACGCAGAAGACTAATTGGCACCTACAATATGCCGCAGAGTCAGAGAATTATTTATTGACTTTTCTCTCTCATTCAGTCATTGATCAACAATACTTGAAGATGTTACCGCAATGTTGTGGAAATACTGTTTCTCGGATGGGCGGACGCTGAGCTAAGTAGTGCTGGAACCTTACTTCCAAATGTCTATCCGCTTCCAAGTGACACCTTGCATACAGTGTGGAAAATTTTAGTTAATTAGGTAGTAAGGAACTTATCTATACTGGTATCATCACTTACGCGCTGGGAATAATTAATCTGGCCCAAACCTTCCTTGACTTTTAACTTGAATACTACCACTGCAGAAATTAAAATCCAGGAAACAACAACCTAAAACTCAAAAGTCATACCACATCCCAGTGCTATCAACTGGAAGTCCAATATTTGCGGACCTTTCCCAGTCCTCCATATTACAGAAATAATGAGCGCAGGCTTCGGCTACACAGACACATGCCTCATCAATCACGTCGAGAAACCTTCCGCATTCACAGTATGGAGCCATCATACCATCCTCCACAAGTGTAACTGGAATGATACCTCCATTTTTGAGACCATGTAGAAGGGAGAGCATATTGAATTTCTCTGACATCCAGCCGTCACCTTCCTCAAGTCGTCGATAAGAAAGAAGTTCTGTCTGTATGGCCGCCCATAACGTTCCGATCGTCCTACTTCGGCCGTAGAAATTGTTGTGCTTTAACTTGTAGTGTTGACATGGCTCATAGTAGTCAGGGCCATCTTCACCACTTCCTTCATCCACGTCGCTTGATTCGTCGAGATCCATGCCATCGTCGCTGTACTCCACGTACTACTAAAGTCATCCACTCTATCTCGGGTCCTGTTGTATTCCTGTCTATCGCCATCAGTGTGTTCTGGTCTTGATCTTCTTTCCTCTCTGGCAAAAGATAGTACCGCACATAAAACCTGCCAACCGAGTTTCGCCTCGTCAGCCCACCCGGTCATTAGATGTTCAGGTACCCGCTCTGCCAGCTCCAATGCGTCAAGTTGCTCATGGCTACACTCGTCAGCTCAATCCATACCCATCAGTGCTTTGAGGGAGGTATCTGCTCGTAGAAGGGGATTGCACCCATATGCTAAGAGGCATACCAAGCACGTAAGCATGCCAAACAGTTTCTCGCCTGCACATCCACTCCTTGCAAGGTGAAAAGCAACCAGAACTAGCGAATGTAAAGGAAGAAGTTTTAGTTGCTTGTCGCAGCACTGGCATCTCCTCGCAAACAATCCGCTTGGTGTATTGATGTCGGGCGCTGCAGCTGGCCCAAATATGCGGCCAATGCAGTGGACAACTGCCTGTGCTGAAGTGTGGCAGAACATGTGTTTCCATTCAAAGGGAATTGATGCCTTCCCACCAGCAAATAGTTCACGAATACATTCAGAGTCCGCGTCCCACCGTCCACATATATCGATCTCTTCACCCGGAAATCGTCGCAATTTTTGGAATGCATCGTCAACGGTCACAGGAGGACAAGATGTATGTCCTTTCAGTATCGTAATGAATAGATTATCCAGAACCTTATGCCGATAATCGTTGATATAAAGTCGCCCTGAGAATCTGATGTTGTTCACAGTGGCATCAAGAAGGTTGCGGCAGGTGTTCGACCCATCAAGATATGTGGTAGTCAGATGGTGTGGATAGAGACCCAAAACGGCGAAATCTACTGAAGTGACTCGATCTAGAAGTTTCCAAAATACCTCCTCGTTCCTTGCGATGATGCTAAAACTGAAAGCTTCTAAAACGATTTGAGTTTTAGAACGTTTCGTGATTCTGGCTATCTGGGCCATTGCCACTGGCAAGTCTTCTATTCTGATGTTACTGAAAGTATTTGTTTCTAACGCTCTTTGAAGCTTCTCGTCCAGATTTTGGCTTAACAAGGGTCCAGTCCATCGTGGCCAGTTCACTCCACCAATCGAAATCATTTCTTCAGCTTCCGACGATGATTCATATTCTCGACCGTATAGAAACGGAATGAACGCGTGCATGGTCCATTTGCAAAGTTTTGGGGGTAAAGACTCATGCTGATCACTAGATATTATGGCACCAGGGGTAGCAGGATAGGGGGTCCCGATATTTAGCATGGGTGTATCTGTTGTGGAAGAGATCTGTGTGTCCTTATAGCGATCGAAATCAAGGATTTCGGCATTCCATTCCAGAGGTCCATGGCCCCAATGCTTTGCTGTTTCAAACGAAAACAGCCAGAATTGATACAACCAAGTGGTAAGGATCCTTTGCTGTGTGTTAGAATTGTTCATCAAATAGTTTAGTGCTGACTTACTTCTTCTCCCGTCGATCCATGTTCTTCATCAAATCATCGTGAGCTCCCGTTATAAAAAGCTATTGGGTTGAAAGGGTATTGGGTACTGAAGGTCATGGAGAATTGATTGCATTGTAAAAGGTAGCTATCTAAGGTGTTTATATAAAGAGTGTTAGTTTTATGCAGACATGAAGCATTTAGGCAGCAGAGCTATAAGTGGATCAAATCAGGAAGTGGAGCAAAAGAGAAAGTAGACCCAGCACAACAAAAGCCGAGCTCTCTCATTCAATTTTTTGCCTCTTATCGCCAGCATTGTTGGCTAGGTCGCGTTAACTGAGTTAGTTCCGAATGGACTTCCGATGGATATATCGCTTGGTGTGGACCCAAAGGGCGACCAGGGACTGTTTGCTGTAACAGACGAATATCTGAAATCTCTGTAGGGCAAATTCCATTGGATGAAACTTGGAATATTCAGCAAAATCTCGGACAATTCAAAGATATACCTACAAATTGATTTTGAGCTGCAGTGTATGTTCTTGTTTTTTCTTTGCCTTCTCTACGTCACTGATGTGTCGTCGGATCTTTCTCTTGTCAATTGTCTCGCCGTTGTACTTGATGCTCATGCTTGAGTTTGGATCTTTTGTTCTTTTTCTGATCGCCAGTATCGCCGATTCCTTCTTCTTTGATGGCATGTTTTTGGTCATACCCCATTTTTTGAGTTTGTATTTGTACTGGTGTTCTCTACAGGATTGTCAGCTACAAAAGGATTGGGTCCTGAAAAATGCATTCTTGTACCTACAGCGCATCAAATCGAAAATCGTCTTTCATTTTCCGTGCAAGCTGATTTGGCTTCAAATCTTCGTCAATGTATAAACAACGGATTGTTGGCTTCAAACATCCCCATCTCCTGGTATACGGGACATCTTGAAAGAAGGGGGGTGTTCCTTGAAAGGCCATTATGTGTCTGGAGGAAAGCTTTTGCTTCTACAGCAAATAATGAGGAATGTGGGCTTAAGCTGCAAAGTCGAGACCTTCAGCAACTGTACTTATATAGAAAGGTGGCGATATAAGGCTGGCCTCGTAGGACTTTGTCCGTGGGATTCGATCACATCCTTGAAGGCTATATCGGCGATCTACAGGAACCTGAGCTGCATACAGAAGGTGAGCACCCAATCGTTTGCAAAAGATGAGCTCTGGGATTTGCGACAGGAGGGGCTTGCATACTGTTGCATATGCAGGTGGCAGACCCCTCCCCGGTATCAGTGTAACGACAAAAGGTGACTTGCCAATCAACGCCTTCTAATCGGCTTATTGAGTATGGAAGCGAAGTCGAGGATCTGCCTTCCAATCCGCCCGTGGCCCTGCAGATGTTGTGTTCCCACAGAAATACTACCAAAAGATGAATAGCCAATTGTTGTACAGGAAGGTTTCTGTTATAACGCGATTTACGCATTATCCCTTTCACGTCATCCATGCACAATTCCATTTCCAGGAATGCACACCGAGATATCTTTTTACAGGTATAAGCCAACCTTCATATTCTTGGCACAGCACTAGGCAAGCGCAGTGCAAAGTTGGCGAGCCAACCACGACTGCTGCCACGAACAAGGCGATAGATTGTTGGTATATTGGAAGTATTGCCAAAGTTTTCTTCAATGTTTATTGGCAAGTCTTCTTTTGTTCAAGCCAACCAAGTGGAACATGTTAGAAAATACACATTAGCTCTCGTGTTATTGAATTTCTTGTATTCATGAGGATTCGACTGTGGTCTGAAACTGTATATGTATATATACTGCATTCCTTGCTCCTGAAATGAGAAAACGAATCTTTCTATATTCATATTGCTGTCCTTCGAGCAGAGTCCCGTCCAGAATTTCCATAAGACTCTGGCTTCAGGTTGATAAAGGTTTCTGCACCGAAGGTTGCAAGATTTCAAAATGTGCCCGTCGAAGAAGATGCACCATCATCCCAGTGATAAGAGGTGATCCATCATTTCCCCTTCCCAGTACCCCCCGATGTTTCTCGATTCCACATTCATAGTTTCTACCCTTGCTAAGCTACAAGAAAGCGGCCAAGAAGATCTCACCAAGCCCCAACAATCACCCACATACCCAAACCGCAATCCCGTCAATTACCTCAAAACATCCATCCTATCACGATGCAAAGCAGCCATTGCCTCATTGAGAAGGGCTATACCATTCTCAAAATACACATATTCAATATAATCCCTCGCACGACACCCTTGGAACTAGGGCCCAATTTTCGAATCCAGAAGCAGCTTCTTACTCCAGTCAGCAAGCATTTTGTCCTTCCGATGAACACTCAAGTCTTGAACAGGAGTTTTCTGAATGGCAGGAGGAATGCAATTTTGGAGCGGAATCTGGGAACTTGGAGGCATACAATGTGAGGAGCAACGGAGACCCATATGCTCTTTTCAATCCACCTGGGAACGGAGAGATTGTGAGTAGCAGAAGGGGTGGCGTACAGTAAAGGGATCTGACGATTTTCTTCACGACTTATGCAGTATGACGAGATGTGAATCATAAGATAGCTTCGTTTTGTGTTACTTGAATGGATATCCACTTGAGAATTGTTATGTAACTGTGTTCTGGACATACCAGGAGAGACCTCGCTTAACTAATTTGGGTCATGTGACTAATACTCACGTCTTCCATTGTCGTAAACAGGCGGAGATATGTACCACTGACAGATACTAGTCTCCCAAGTATGAGCTTTATAGAGCTCTTTAGACAATGGAGAGTTATGTTCCCGATTCCCATAAAACTCTCGGATCACATGATATGATATCTCTCTAGAGACCTTTCTGGAATAATCCAAAGTTATAACATCTTTCGCCCTTCTATATTTGCTCCTCCGGCCCCCTCCGCCCCCTCCGATCACATATAATGAGGTTGATATCCACAAGCCATTATTAAAAAGGCACTACCATATACCTCCTTTTATTTTGAAATCCGTCTCTCATCTAATTACCGTAGTATAGACACTTTAGTACAGTACAATAGTACAACTATCCCAGAAGTTTCAGTTCACTATTTCAACCTCTTAAAACCAATAGTGCAATGAAATCTGCCAAGTTATGTTGTGCCAATAGAAATATATTCTCTGCTCTTTTTGAGTCAGATACTACGATCAGCTAGACACTTATCGTATTTAAAACACTCTAGGGTAACTAGTATCGGGCTTCGGTTTAAGTGTTTACATAGAATAATGCGATTTTACCAAATGGTCGAGTCACTATGATCTTTCCGAAATTGAGATTTCATATCCCTGGTTTAGTTAATTAGACACTTGTGACCGCCGTACTATATTTGCGAGTTGCTATTGTAGTAGTCAAAAGTATAATGGTGTATTGTATTACATGATTTTATTGTGGTTGAACACGGTATAGAGCAAGTAGGATAGTAGGAATAAGGTAAGGAATAAGGAATAGACTATAGAAGGTGAAAACTATAACAATCTAGTAGCCAAAAACACGCCAATTACTACGAGAATTTCATCCTACAGTCTGACTAATGAATCACCCAAGTTGTCAATGAATTACTCCAATTGATGGTTGCAAGAGCACATGTTATCCAATTTATCCATGCAATGCCACCATCACATAAAATCCAACCCCTCAAAACCACCCCACTGCGCCTCCCAAACATCAACCAAATAATTATCTCTTGGTCTCCATGGGGCCTTATCCCCACACCTAGGCATATGACACTTTCCCTTCTGCATATACGTAGAACTCAGATTCATAACCGGTAAATCTCCCATCCCTTCCTCCTCCATCTTCGGCACGACACTTGTGAATCCATTCTTCTTCATGTGCTTTAAAATGAGACAGATATGCACAGCCGAAGCATCGGCCCCTAATGTCCAACTTGCGGCTGCGTAACCGATCACGTAGCCGAAATTTGGAAGGTCTTGCAGCATGACGCCTTTCCAGAGGTAGAGAGAGGGAATTGAGACTGGTTCTCCGTCAATTGAGGCGTGTGCTCCGCCGGCGATTTTGATTTTCAAGCCGGTTGCTGTTACGAGGATGTCTGTTTCGATGTTTTCAGGGACATCGCCTCCTTTGGGGATGACTTCTATTCCGTACTTGGTGACTGTCTTGACCTTTCCTGTTACTATCGATGCCTTTCCAGTTTTCAAGGCGGCGTAGAAATCTCCGTTACGGCTAACGCATAGTCTTTGTTCCCAAGGGTTGTACAAAGGGACGAAATGGGGGTCCCAGGGGATATTTGGAGGAAGTTGTGCCGCTGTTGCCTTCATCAACCATTTTCGTGCGGTGGTTGGAAATCTTTCACAGAATCTGAGGAATATGGTGGGAAGTACTATCATCAGATATCTGGTGATTGCAAATGTCCATCTCTTGGGTATCAATTTTGATAGCCAACCAGTGGAAGGAGAATTGGACACCTGACTGAGGACATAACTCGGACTGCGTTGAAGCATAGTGACATGGGATGCTCCTTCTTTCAGAAGACTAGGGATCAAAGTCACGGCCGTGGCACCACTTCCTACGACAACTATTTTCTTGCCAGAATAATCGAGATCCTGTGGCCAGAATTGAGGGTGTATGACTGTTCCCTGGAAATCATTAATACCAGGAATAAAAGACGGTGCAGCCTCGTCATAATCATAATAGCCCGTCCCAAGAAGCATAAATTTCCCATTCAAGCTCCGCCGTCCTTCTCTACTCTGAACCAACAAATTCCAACTCTGCGCCTCACTCGACCAATTCGCCTCAACAAGCTTCTGACCAAACTGAACTTTCTGATCAATTCCGTTGAGCGCCGCCGAATCACGGATATAATTCAAAATATCAGCGCCATCTGCAATCGTTTCTTTCCCGTGATATGGATTCCATTCAAAACCAAAAACATGCATGTCTGAATCACTTCTAATCCCCGGATAGCGGAATTGATCCCAGGTTCCCCCTATAACTGAACGGGCTTCGAGAATGATATATGTTGCATTTGGAAGCTCGGTCTGGATTCGATAAGCAGCGTTGATGCCGGAGATTCCTGCTCCCACGATCACTACATCGTAGCTGGTGTTTTGGTCATTCATGGTGGGTGTCGTCATTTTGCCACGCGCTTTCAAATAAAATGAAAAAGAGATGCAAGGAGATGGATGAAAGAGTGATGTTAGAAAATAGAGATCTCACTTGGGCTCACGTTGCCAAGAACAGAATATTCACTTGTACCAACTTCGAGCCATCAGTATTGTTTGCACAGTTGTTCAATGAAATAAGTGCTGGATTTGTGACGACCAAGTTCCCGCTTATATTTTCGCGGCATGCTACGCAGTCCACCAGCTGTGGTGCCACACTTGCCGCTTTGGGCATCGTTTCGTCTGATGTATTTAGTTGCAGATGGATGCGAAGGTGTGGTGCACGAGATCATAGATGCAACCAGGTTTGAGGGAAAAATCGAAATTTTAGTCGGGAATTCTCCGTCCCGTTGCCAGATGACAACCTTGTAAGCATTTTAATCTCGTCATGTATGTTTGTTCATTTGATAATGTTTCTAATCCAAGCGATGCGAAATGCTGTGGCGATATGAGGAGATGCCGATATTCGGATCGCTAAACCGGCTCGGCCCGATGTTAGGGAAAATAGGTATAGAGATTACTCCAGGGCTCTGTAGGTACCTAGCGGCCTCAGCTTCCATTTGTTCATCTAAACGTGACTTCCCTCTGATAATGGTTACCTCCACTATGAGTCTTGCCTTAAGTTAATCCTTCGCTCCTTCCGCAAAAGATTTTATCTTGAAAGTACGCATGGCCGCCTTTGATAAAGGACCACATGCTCCCAAACATGGACAATATGCAGTAGGTCCAAATTCTCTTTACGCATCCATCATTTTATCAGAAGACATTTGTATGTTATTCTTTCAACTCATTTGCGCGAACGAGCTATTGCTATAGAGACTCGAACAAGGCAGACATCCAAATTCGAAGTCGCAAAGATCTACCTTGTTGAAATGAGCTCCCAACCATCTGCTAAAGATGGCTGTACCACCTCTGCCATTGATTTTGCACGAATAGACGAAGAGGATGAAGATGCAATCCTACCTGCAACACCACTTCCGGCACCAGAATCTGATCCAAATGAAACGGAAGACAAGATCGATGACAAGATCGATGAGGAGCCGCCCCTACCAGCGCCATCAAAAAGAAATCGTTTCCATTTCGCATTGGCCTTTACTGCCTTGTCTGTTGTGGCTTTCACAAGTGCTCTGGATGCAACAATCTTGGCTGTGGCTCTTCCTGTATGTCTCCTGCTATTGAGACTGACATGTTATTAATCGCAACAGATCGTGACAGAAAAGCTGAAAATGACCACCCTGGAAGCTTTCTGGGCCGGCATCTCTTTCCTCCTCTCGTCGGTCGTATTTCAACCACTTCACACAGCAATGAGCGATATCTTTGGACGAAAAGCAATTCTTTACCTCTGCATTCTCTTCTTTGTCGCAGGATCACTTATCGTTGGGTTGGCTCAAAGCGCAGAAGTCCTGATCGCCGGACGCACAATACAAGGAATTGGCGGTGGGGGGATTGAAGCCTTGGCTGAGATTATATTGACTGATATCACCACTCTCAAAGAGCGACCTAAGTACATTGGTATTCTAGGTCTGATGTGGGCTGCGGGCTCGATAGTGGGACCCATTATTGGGGGGGTGTTTGCGGAATATGTCACCTGGAGGTGGATTGCCTGGATCAATCTTCCATTGATGGCAGTTGCCATGATTCTTATTCCACTGTTCCTGACTTTGGCAGTTGACAAGTCTTCCGTCAGGTCCAAACTCAAGCGGGTCGATTACATGGGTATGGCTTTGTTGATCGTGGGATTGACTTCTTTCGTCTTGGCTCTATGCTGGGGAGGCCAACTGTTTCGCTGGAATCGCTGGCAGACAATATTTCCATTGGTCGGTGGCTTGGTTCTTCTGGCAGTCCTAGCTCGATATGAGAAGTATCCACGCGAACCCATCTTCAAGTATCGCCTTTTCGCGACATGGACAAGCACCTTGGCATTCTTCGGTTCGTTCATACAAGGGATTCTCATATGGGTTCTGGTATATTATTTAGTGCTATACTTTCAAGGGGCACTTCAACATGCTCCTCTTCAATCCGCTATCGACGCCTTCCCATTGATGTTTACACTCACTCCCTCTGCCGTCATTTGTGCGGTCTTAATCGACAAAACAAGACGCTACTTATGGACAATATGGCTCGGCTGGGTTCTGTGTACAGTCGGATTTGGGACAATGATCTTGCTTGACAATAAGACCAGCAGGGGTGTCTATAGCATTGTCCAAATTGCCCCAGGACTCGGAACCGGATTTCTGCTCTCAGCATTAGCAGTTCCCGTTCAAGCCGCCATGTCAGTCGACGATGCCGGCTTAGCAATGGGTACCCAGGTTTTCTTTCGCGCAGTTGGAGCCCTCGTAGGCGTCGCCTTTGGTTCATCCGTCTTCACCAACGAATTCAGCCGTGCACTACAGCAGATAAAATTACCACCCAACGTCAATCTTCCCGATGCCACCGATGCAGTGTTCTTCTTGACCTCCATCGATACTCTAGATATTTCGGCGGAAACTCGAAGTCAACTTCTTCATCTTTATGCGGATCCGATTAGACTCATATGGATCGTTGCTACGGGATTGGCGGGAGTTGGCTTGATATCTTCACTTTTTATGAAGGAGTTGACGTTGGAAAGGGAGGAATTGGGGAGACAAGCTTTGCAAGTTCATGAGGCGAAGTCGAAGTCTTCGGAGGATAGTATGGAGAATGGATCCCCTGGTCCATAAAGCACAATTTAGTGAATTGGGGTAGTAAAAGGACTTCGGATAATGGGGCATTGATATCAAAGATGCAAAGGGCTCTCTTTATAGGAATAGAAGTAATTATAGAAGCAATCCATTCTCTCATGTGCATTAATTTGTCGAGGTTCAAGTGGTCGTAGAGCAGGGAGATGAGTTGAGGGTTTGAAGTTGTGTGATGGCACCAAGGGAAATCAGGTCTATACTGGTCGAAAAGCAAACAAAATATTGATTATTGTCAATTAACAAATATGTTCTGGCGGATCTGTCATACTTCGCGCAAATGGTAGGACCAAAGCGAGTATACGCAGAGCAAAGTACATTGCATTTTGCCGTTCACACGCGTTTATAGGAAGATAGCAATTCCCCCAAGAATACAGTAAAAAACCCAAACAACGTAGTAGCTTCTTCACCATTGCATTGCCCATTGAGTTCTGCTGCACCAATGTCTCTCTGCAAATCATTCGATGAAGGCTCCATTTTCGTCGGGAACACGGAGCCGCATACTATCTTTACACTTCTCCGGATCACCCAAGACATGTCCTTGCTTCAGGACATGGAAATCCCTTATCCTCACGAGTCTCTGCTCCTCTGGATCGTCTAGTATTCCGAGGTACAGCATTCTGATGAACCACGGAATCGTTGCTAAAGCAAGACACCAGAGTTCGCCATACCAGCCCCAAAGGTACTTTTCGTGGAACTCTGTTGAATTAGATTTGGGTGTAGTAAGTATGTAGAGTTAGGACCAAATTGCTAGTTTTGACAAAGTGAGGGGACGAAATTGAGTTCACTTACGAGAAGACGCTGCCTGAGTAGGAGAAGGTATCCAATGGAGCTCGTTATGGTTGCCAATGTTGACCAGAAGCGCTTTGGGTATGACGATTGGATATTTGGAATTTTCTCGGGTGGAAGGCGTGTTTTGTTCCCAATACTTTGAATATAGGTCGGGAGTTCTTCCTTGGACTTTGAGTCTGTGTAGAAGGGGTTATATGAAGAGCATGTCACCCTGTAAGTTCCGGATGAGAAAGTTGAGCGATGGGCCTGACGAAATTAGCAGACAATAAATGATGTATCTTCTTGTCCCGCTGTGTAACTGACCTTGGCAGAGCCATTTTGATGGGGCGTGAGCAAAGCCTGTCCCAGGTCATCGCTTTGTCTTTTAACCACGTTATCTCTTCCAAAGGTCGATAGTGTTTGTGAAACTGGCGTTGGTGGTTTGCAGCTGCTCGTTAATCCAGGCCTAAATTGGCGAGATTGTTTGGGATAAAGATGCATGTTGGTTTTTTATGCTGTGTGTTTTACGAGAACCATTCCAAATTTTCCACTGAAGAAGAAGCAATTTAGAAGCAATTTTCCAGTAGACTCAAATGTTCGCTTGAACCAGTGATCGATCTAGTGACTTTTGAAAGACGCGACTTTTGAGCGGACTCGTTGATTCGTCCACTAAGCGATTACGTAGTAACATACCGGTATGGATATCCGGCGGTCTAACCGCCACCGCGAGGAGACGTCGGAGCGAATAACACCACCTACGGACCGAAAAGGGGGTGCGTACACGTGATTCGCGAAAAAGAGTGGAATTTATCCCTTGCCGCTTTTCCTTTCCAGAGGCATTGTGGGTCTGTGAGCTTCGCCTCCGTCATCCATCCCTTGTGGTGCATTTCCCCTCTCCCTCCCGTCCTCTAGCTGGGCTAAGAGCTCGCGAGTCCCCCCCTCGAGTTCAGCTCCGGACTTCTCTTTTCCTATCACTCTTCATCCACCTATATCTTCACCGTCCCCATCTCCCCACTGCAACCCATCTTTCATACCCACCACACTTTGTACTTTCTCTTGTCACTCCATCAATTTTTCATACATACCAATTGAGGTTTCGCAATGGCCACGCGAAAGAGAAAGCAGGACGAGGAGCTCGTCGCTTTGCCTAGCGATGAGAGTGAGGAGGAAGAGGAGTACGTTGATCCGCCTCCCAACACGCTTGAATCCTTTGATTTGCGTCGCGTATTCCTTTTGCTTTCATGATGGGAATGACTTTAAGAAGCATCAAGTGGTGTTTAATCCCTCTCCAGTTCTGTGGTCGGCGCAATGCATCAATGTATCAATGCGCCGGTGTTGCAAAGAGCTCTGCACCCCCTTCGAGCATACCAGATCATGGCTCATTGAGTGTACGAGCTCCAATGCATCATTGATGCTAATATTTCTCCGCTAGGTACGAAGACTCCGATATATCAGAGGGAGGAGCAGGTGCGGCTGAATCGGACTCAGAGGAAGGGAGTGAGGAGGATGAAGAAGACGAGGATGCTGAGGAGAATGGGAAAGCCGAAGAAGGTATGCGCTTGCTTTTCTCCTAAGATAGCATCAACAGATTTGTGGTCGCATCAATAGATGTGGCGACCACAAATCTCCACACTGACAACGCCAACAGCCCCCGAGCCCGCAAGGAAGAAACGCAAAACTGGCGAAAAAGGCAAACTCGGTCATGTTGGTGGTAAAACCCAGACTGCTGCCGAACCACAAGTCGTAGAGCAGGACGACGAGGAAGATTCTGCGACTGGTGAAGACGACGAAGAAGCCGAACCTGTAAAGAAACCCGAAGTCGTCAAGGGCAAAGCGGTCCCGGAGACAGCTGAGGAATCTGACAAGGTCGTTGCTGCAGAAGAGGACGACGATTAGATGCGCTCATTCATCGTTGAGTTCAATGCGCTTAACCGCGCAAAGCGCTGCGGATATAAAACCATGATGTGGTGATGAACAGGAACATTGGGAATTGGGTAATTCTTTCTTCGCGGGGTATAATGAATTTATTGAAAGGGATATTCGGATCGCGAGGTGTTTTCAAAGAAGGAATTTATTTGGATTGTATGTATACAAGCAAGGAAAAAATTCATCTTTTGGACGTTCGCGGTTGGCGGGGCCAAGTTGTCTTCTTTTGGATTTTCAGCTTCTGTCTGTGCTGGCATGGCATTTTCTGGGGATCGTGTACCCCGCGATGGGCAAATCAAAAGATGACATCTGTGTACCCCCTCCCCCTTTCCCTCAAACTCACATATATCACTGATATCATATGACACCCCTTTTTCTGGATTTTCACAGATTCCCATCCTACGCTGTGTGATCGGGGTTTCCTATTTACCGATGAAATACTCTATCCCTGTTTCGCATTCATGACCCCCGGACTCTTGCCTTGATTGTCTTATTTCACCCGAAGTTGAACAATTTCAATTTTCGCCCCGAGTACTTTGTGTTAGGTTTCTTATACGAGTATTCATTTTCGTTTTGATCCCAGGGTCACTTCAGCCGTACCGGATATACTCCATATACCAGTTGCAAGTACAGGATTAGGATCCGTACGCTCCTGCGGGGTGTAGCGCATTATTTTACCGATATAAAAAACCATAAGCTGCAGGTGGGATGCCTGGTGGATCGTCTCGAGTTCGTTTGATCATGCCGTGTGCACGCTAGTGCTTGGTGCCTTCGTAGTACTTGACACCGCACAATCCCTTGAACACTTCATCACCGGCTTGTGAGAGGGAGGGAGAAAAAAAAAGAAGACTGTTACAATGCTTTAGCACCCGTTTTATTCCATTTCCTTTTTCCTTCTTCTTCTCATCTTGCACCAGGAATTTTGTTTTGCTTATCTTGAGGAAGTTTGATCGCCGAGCAGAAAAAGAAGTGCAAAGTTCCAATTCTTGGTGCATGAAATTCGAAAATCCCATGTTGGGCGAACTCGCAGGGCGAAGCAGGGTCTGAGGCCAAATCAGATCACAGTCGCCATCACAATCACGATAACAGTCCATTGGGGGAATCCAACCCGAACAAGAAACCTGTTCCGTTCCCAGAACAGGGCGTCACAGCAACGAGAGGGGAACCGTTGCAACCATATGGTCTCTCGAGTTTACATTTCTCTTTTCTACATAAACAAATCGTCGACCTCGCGGGCTCTGCACGCCAGCGAAAGAGGAGAAATATGTCGAATCGATGGTCGAGACGCTGGACCCCGAGTCTTGCACGCCACAACAACGATTCGCAAAAGTACGGCAATTCATCGGCCCCATCCCCCTCATGCCCAGACGAGGAATCATCAGAGGGCGAGAACTTTGGAAGTGCCTTCAGAATGATTTCAAAACTTTCGAAACGCCAGAATTCGACTCAACCACAACCACCGGTAGGGAGGCGAGCGTCAATCAGGGAGGTCGCTACACATTTGTTTACAAGACGGCAGAGTGTCAATGGTGGGAGCCCGATGCAGATGCAGGTAGGCAACAACAACAAGACGAGAATTGTGGGCTTGGATGTGATTGTGGGTACGAAATCCGATGATGCTCCGCCCCCACTACCCCCACGTAAAAACAGCCCTCCCGCGGAGGTATCACGGGATCGAACACGAGTACGACCATTGCAACGACAATCCCAACCGCCGCCGACGACGAGAACGCGAGGGGCGAGTATCTCGAGTATCACCAAAGGAATCTCCGAGACTCTCACAAGAACTGTTTCTGTGACCAGCCCACCGAGAACTCTGAGGAGGAGAGATGGGCCGATCGTGATTCCTCCTCCTGACGGTACACGGTCGGAGTCGGTTAGCACTCCCGAAAAGGGGGGGAAAACTCACGATAGGCATGATTCGTCTTACTCAAGCGTCTCAAGCTCCTTTGAGCTGCACAGAGATGGATCCAAGAGCTCGCGAATTTCGAGAGTCATGATCTCCCCTGCGTCGCCTACCCTGACGGCGAGTCAATTGATAGACTTAAAAGCGTTTTTAAGCGACGTTGAGAAATTGTTGATGGAGCAGCATAAGTTTTGCGAAAGTTTTTCGCACAACCTGCTTTTCTTGATGGCTATCAAGGAGAGGGTGATTCGGGAGAACAAACGGCTGAACGTGGAGTGGAAGAAGGGGTTGACGAGGGAATTGTCAGCTTGCCGGGAGGAGCTTGGGCGGGTTTTCACCAGAAAAGCCGTCGTCGGTGAAAGAAGCATGGCTATTGTCCGGGATCTACTCGCCAAACTGGATGAGGGGAACAAGAAAGAGGGAGATATGATGTCACGGAAACGGGGCAGTCTCCTAGAGCCCTTTCGAGGGCGAGCTGCGATCAGAAGTCGTCCACCTCTTACACGCCAAACACCTCCCTCACCACCACAGAAAGATCCTAACGAACTCACCTTGGAAGTTGTCAACAAGGCTTTGAGTAGTCTGAGAAAGGATGTAGGCTTGCAAAAGCTTCTTGATGATTGCATTCTGGATGCAGTTACCCGCAAATGCTGGAAGCCGAGATGGTGTCGTAACCACAGCATGAAGATCGAGATGAAAAGATTCGTAGGATTCGTGTCGGAGAGGTGTGAAAGGCTTGCTAGGAAGGAGGCCGATCTGAAGATCCTCATAGCAGGAATAGAAGATGCTATCGATGATGGAAACGGAAAGAGGAGTAAGAGGACGAGTGGAGTGAGTGCCAAGGGAGTGAGTGCCAAGGGGGTTCGGAATTCTTGGACCCCCTAACACCTTCATATACACCCACCAGGCTTTCTGATTACTCCGGTGCGGTTTGAGCGACCGATTTAATCCACAGAAACAGCTGGAATTATCAGGTTCAAACTCCCTCCATCTATTACAGTATTCTGGGAGTGTTACACGGCCTCTACGAAACTCAACCCATTCTCAAACACCGCAAAAGTGGTTTTTATTTCCGCCGATAGACCTGCGCATCGATGCAATCGACTTCTTGCTCTTTCTATGATCTTATTTGTAATTTACCTTCCGGGAGCGAGGAGTTTTTGGAGTGTGGATCTTCTGTGGAGATGAAGGATTCTTTGTACGGTAGATACCATGGGTATTTTGAGATTTCCATTCTTGGTATAAGTGGGGATTTGGAGAAGAATAAGATCATGAACACTTTTGACTCTTCGCAGTTGTTGTACCTGAATTTATCGTGATGGTGTTTGTTATTATAGATGTGCATGCAATTTTGAGGAGGCATGCGATGCTTACTCGCTTATTTTAGAAGAAATGGGAACAGAGTTAGAAAGGAGCTCAGAGCACCCGATATCTTCTTCATACATACAAGTTGAGCAGTACTGGGGACTACTACGATACCACAAACACTCAAAATACAGATTCTGGGATGCTTTTATGATGACTAGTCAATTCATTGTAATTTGTAGCGCTATTTCCCAAAACATAATTTAATGAGCGTGCTTGAAACAGATAAGAATAACAGACAGAATTCCACTAAACAATGTAACATCCAGACTTGGTAAATTGAAAACGAGTGTGAGTATTGCGATGCGCGAGAAGAGTGTTTCCTTGAGCTTGAGGAAGTGGTAAAGTCGAGGTCAAACAGAGGTTTGGGAGTTGGCTTGCAAAATAGGTTCGAGTTGTGTTTCTGCGACTTATGGGGAGGGAGTGAATTCAGTGGATTCTTCTCCTTTGGCGCTGAAAGTGCTAGAAGGCATATATTGGGGTCTCTCCTGTTCTGTGTTCCCAATTTTAACCATATAATAGATTTTGAGGGAACAGTTGTTACATCTTTCATGGGTTTTCGTGCAGTTTTCGGTTCGATTCTCAATCCAATTCCTGTTGCAGTCGGCATCGTTCCAAGAGGTTCCAAGCTGTACACCACATTCATTAGCACTAAAAGTAATGCAGATGTGATAGGTCAAAACCCAGAAGAAAACCATCAATTAAAGTCTTACCTGGTCGGTCCTGACACATTCACAGCATTGCCATTCGGCTTTGTGGAACTTCTTTTTCCGGAATCCACCTTCTTGTGTTGACATCTTGGCAGTTGAGGATCAAGTTCGATAAGTATCAACTTCTGTATAGTGATCTGGGTTTCTTAGCAGTGAGAAGGAACTTGAATGATAAGATGAAGAAGAAGAAGAGACTGATTTGGAGGAGACTCTTTATAGATGAGAAACTCATCAAAGAAAACTACTGGATCGAATCAAACTGGGTCTAGAGGAGGCTGGCCACAAAAACGAAATAGACCGAGCCTGGATGCCGAAAAAGGTGGTCAGGGTTTTTCTTATGTTGGAAAAGATTGAGATTCATGTGCGAGACAAAGAGAATGCAACGAAGGGTTGTACGGAAGGGCTAACAGCAGAGGTGCCAAATATTCAATATGGTTTCATTGGTGATTGAGAGATGGCGGGTGTATCAAGTTGAAGCTGAAAATGAAATTTCATTATAAAATGCGATGTTGGTTTTCTTTCAAGCAAACTGACTATACCAAGAAGCAAGTTGCCATATATCAAAATTCCACGCCGTAAAAATTATGGCATATCCTGCCAGTGCAAGAAAGAAGCGAACTTCCAATGATATGGGAGCGTCTTTGAGGATTCGAATCTAATGAGGTCGATGCTTCACCCCAAATAGAGTCCGCAGCGTGCGAGATCTCATGAGCTGGGGGTCGGTCACCTTTTTTTATTTGGTCACATATGCATGGATCGCACCACCTCCAACATCCAACGTTACGGTCAGCATGATACTCATGCCCAATAGGCGCCGAATCCATACTTTTAAAAGTTGGTCATGTTCAGAATATATCCATTCATCGCTCGCCTACAATGGGGAAACTTTACGAAACAAAGAAATGCACCTAAACATGACGCTGATAGAAACGAAATATCATTGAGGATCCAGGATTTTCACAAGTGCAAGCGAAGTTCGATGTCCAGTTTAAACAAAGAATAGGTAGAGAAATTCGTATGTTGATACAGGGAAAGTGTTGCTTCACCTCTTTTCCAACCACTGGGTGATACCAACATAACTACTGTGGTCATGGAAGTCCTTTCACCCGGGGTAAGTGCATCCACCAGTCGCTAAGATACCCTATGATTAGCTTTTTGTCTTTGTTGTTTGAGGCCCAGAGAGTTTATAACACTGTTGATTCGATCCAGAGTGGTCTCTGGATTTTGTGGTTCTTTCGGGCAGTGTACTGTACACTTCCCACGACGAGAAACAGATTTCTACTCGCCTTCTATAGCCAGTATTCTTTATTGTTACCCAAAAGAGCCACCCCGAGAGCTTACATGTGCTCAACACCTCACTCGTTGACTCTGTGACTCTTTGTGTAAGGCTCTCATCTTGCGACTTTCGGCCGCCTTGTCCAGCAGATCAACAAGCAGCGCTCGTTCATATAGTCTCTTTAGAGACATCTCCATCTTGGTAAGTCTCGGGCTTGATCGTTTCCCACTCGACCTCTTGGCTGAGCATTCTCGAGAACCATCATGCGATTCCCTCAGGGAAAGAGCCCGGTTTCCGCAGAACCCTCCCACCTTTTCCACTTCCGTTTGCAGGAGCTTCACGAATGGCTTCTGCTTCCACTAGTTCGTCAACCTCTCTCCGAGCATCAACACGCACCATCATCGGCTCAGTGCTAGATACTTCCCCCTCCTCCCCTCATATGGGCCGAGCTGCTACATACCGTCACCTCATCATAGACCCCGAGCCCGTCCAAAATCCATACCTTCGATATATATACAAGGTTGGGTCTTCTCGGGGAAGGTCTATACTAGGAGCTGTCATGCTTGCAGACTGTGCTTGATTCTCCTAGCTTTCCATTTCAAGTGTAGGTATGTTTGGAACGGCAAGGTATTAAACGAGAAGTGCAGGGACGTGATTGTATAGGTGGAATTGGCAGTGGAATTCGAGCATACTTCATGGTCTCCTTCATCAGAGAATATAGGGACTCGATTGGTGAAGAATTCTGCTTTTGGATGGTCATACTGGCTTAGCACTCTTATTCACACTTTCAACTTTTACGATCTCGTACCCAAGGTGTGGTGCTATCGAGAATTCGATACGTACAGTAATTATATACTTGAGGCTTCGCTATCATTGAACAAATACTCCGTGAAAGAGATCAAGGGTGCTTTGGGACAGGTCAAAGTCAAGTTCACGATTTTATTTGGAAATGATACGATTGAGTTAGCTTTCTGCGCTTGGTAGGGAGCATCTGAAAGTAGAGCACATCTCTCGAGAAGCGAGAGGGAGAACGTCCATAGGTATGTTTCGTTCTTCATGAGAGTTGGACAAGATAAAAAGGGTCAATCAGGGGAAAAAACTTTGTTTATTTCGCTTAGTCGATTTTCACTTGAATACTGTGACAAATTTCGAAAAGCAATATAACTTCACTTATCTAGCTGTAGGTCCGGAAAAGATCACTCGAAAGTTTCTAGTCAATGATACATATCATGATCATATCACTCAACTGAAGCTTTCCACGAAGATCAGATTGCATAATGAGCAAGACCCACATTGAGAAAGCTTCTCAATCCGGGGTAAAAACTCAATTGAGTTAACCCGAGATCCTTCTCATCCCAAATCAACCCCGCCTTCTCCAAAGCCAAGGTATTAGCATGTGCGGGGAGCGGGGTAACGCAACGTCGAGCTCATGTATAAACCCAGTTTGTGCTTCACGAATGACGTCGACAAATAATAATCCCTGTCAAACAAAACTCGTGATGCATACCTACTCGAATTTTGTATAACAAAGTCTATGATGTCCCGAAATGAAAGCTAGACATGCATATCGTAAACAGGGAAATTGGGGTGTGTCTTGGTCACGAAGTGTTGAGAAAGAAAAGTACAGTTCTCGTATTAGGGGCTCAATCGGTTCTTTTTTGCATCTAGAGACCTCAATGCATCCTGCAATACTTCTCCGCAACTTATCTTGCATTGCAGATAATCCAAGAGGTGTTGGCTTCCTTTATAGGAGAGTGCAGTGGGAAACCCACTGAGTCCTGTTTAGTCTGGGAGAGAGAAAAGCTACTTAATGCCCCTTAAACCCAATTCACTCTCTTATTTTCTACTCCGTACAGTATTCCCTGCCCCCGCATTGCATGGTCGACACATGGTGATTGATAATAACAAAATTCACCTTATGAAAACCAAGTCTACGGCGTTCTTATAAATATTTCGAACCTCTAAACCCATCACAAATACTCCTACTGATGCAAACCTACAATCCACAACCAAGGACCCAGCAAACATGCATCTCGTAACCCGCCTTCTCCTACCTCTGGTAATTGCAGCAGTTGCATTCGCTGCTGCAATTATTGAACCAATTCCCCTGCCCAGACGCCAAACTCCCTACAACATCACCAAATACTCCGTTCAGGAACCACCACTAACTACACCATGGACTTACACCGTTGGTACAAATCCCTGGCCAGAATATCCAAGACCCCAACTCCAGAGATCTCAATGGTTGAATCTGAATGGAATTTGGACTTACCAAAAGGCGTCTGGTTTGAATGCGCTTGATTCACCACCATTCAATCAGACATTGGCAAACGAGGTGATGATTCCTTCGTGTCTCGAGAGTGGCCTTTCTGGTAAGCTTCACGAGTTCTATCTTAGTTTGGAAAATTGAGTTAATTGGACCTATAGGCATCCAGGGCGTTAACATGCTTTATTCTTGGTTCTCAACATCTTTCACTGTCCCCGAGTCTTGGTCCGGACAGACTCTGCTCAATTTTGGAGCGGTAGATTATGAGGCCACTGTTTTTATTAATGGCAAGCAAGCTAGTTTCAATCGTGGTGGTTACTTCAAATTCACTATTGATGTCACGGAGTTTCTTACTGGTGGGCAGAATGAGCTGTAAGTACTTCTTTCTGTTTATCGTTCTGGGTATACCAACTTGAAAGTGGTATAGTTCTAGGCTGCCAAAGACAACAAGATGTATTATTACAGGAACTTGCTTATTAATTAAATTTTTTTAGGCTCGTCTTTGTTCATGATCCAACCGATAGTGGAGATTATGTGATCCCAATCGGAAAGCAAACTCTTCGACCATCTCACATCTTCTACCGTCCTTGCAGCGGGATTTGGCAAAGCGTCTGGATTGAAGCTGCGCCCAAGAATTATATTACGCAGCTTGACGTTGATGCGAATATGGATGGCCAATGTGAGTGATGTCTTTCAGTAACCACTTTAGAAGTAAATATTCTAATGGCTGGTAGTAAACATCACAGTTCACACCTCCTCTTCCTCTGCTTATGCCGCCGGGGCAGAAGTGCAGGTCGAGGTTCACGATGGAACTACCGTTGTGGCTACACATAGTGCTTCCTCCGGGAAGGCATTTCAATTCACAGTCTCCTCTCCAAAGCTTTGGTCTCCCGATTCCCCATATCTTTACAATCTCACGGTAACTATGGGCGATGATAAGGTTTCAAGTTACACCGGGTTCCGAACAATCTCTCGAGGAAAGGTTGATGGAATTGAACGCCCTCTCTTGAATGGAGAGTTCATCTTCATGATGGGCACATTAGACCAGGGATTTTGGCCAGATGGATTGTATACTCCGCCGAACCGAGAAGCTATGGTCTATGACTTAAAGATGCTCAAGAATCTTGGTTTCAATATGCTTCGAAAGCATGTAAGTTCAACGACTACCAAATATTGCAAGTACTGACATGGAACCTGGTAAGATCAAAGTCGAAACCGCATTGTTCTACCAAGCATGTGATCAATTAGGTCTTCTGCTTATCCAAGACATGCCCTCACTCCGACCAATCCAAAGCTACGTCGCTCCAAATTGTGACCGTATCACATATCTTCCTGATGCGGTACAACAAGCTGAATTCGACCGCCAACTTGACATTCTGATCAACCAACATAAGAGCTATCCTAGCATTGTGATCTGGGTCATCTACAATGAAGGATGGGGACAAGTAACAGAAGGCTATCCTGAATTCAGACTCACCGATCGAGTCCGCTCCATCGATCCAACTCGACTTATCGACAGCACAACCGGCTGGAACGATCATGGCGCCGGAGATTTCAGCGACAATCATCACTACGCCAATCCCCAATGCGGTTCACCCTTCTCCTCCATCGCCTCATCACCCTACGACCCAAGCAGAATCGGATTTCAAGGCGAGTTCGGAGGAATCGGACAAAATGTATCGATTGAACATCTCTGGAACGTCCAAGAAGCCATCGATACCGTCAATCAGACTTATGAGATTGATACAACGATCGAGGCTTGGAATTACCGCGCACATATCTTGCTTGGTGAGCTCACGGACCAGACAAAGCTGTTTGCGTGTAGTGGAGGTGTCTGGACCCAGACGACAGATGTAGAGGGAGAGGTTAATGGCTTGCTGACCTACGATCGGCGAGTATTGAGACCGAATGAGGAGCAGTGGAAGAAGGACATCCAAGGTCTGTATGAAGCTGCGAAGGCAAGAACTGGGGGTGGGAACAGCTCTATGCCTCTGATTTGATTTGGTGATAGTTGGTTACGAAGATGAGGATTATTTGTCGGACCGTAGAAAAACTCGGTGAATAATACAGAGATGATATTGAGAAGGATCAGAAGGGAGATAAGACACGGTTCTCAAAAGAGAAGATTTTGAGCCGCCTCAGATAGTAATTGTAATTATTTGAGAACCCTTTTCTGTGTCATGCAAATGGGGACTATTTCCCGAAGTACCCAGCACGTGCTGAGATACTCTCTTCCAAGTTAGATACATGATTGGGCAACAAACTTGAACGCTCGTACAATTGTCCCAGAGTTGATACGAGATGGTTGCCGAAATAGCAACGAGGTGTGTCACATACTGTATGATTGGTCGCACACTGAATACCTAGTGGGAGCACGGGAGTCTATAACACTATAGACCCCCGGTCTATAAGGCATAGACTCCCGTCTATAGGTTATAGACTCCCGCGTACTCTATAGTGCCCGGGGGGGAACTTTAGAAATATAAATTTTTAAAAAATCTTTAAACTCTCTTAGAATACTAAGAGTACTTATTTACATATACCCTTGACGTATTATAGCGTTTCTAGTACTATAGTGTTATAAACAATTTTATTGTAGTTATCCCTTGAAAATCCTCTCTTCGAGCTCCCTTTATAAGAAAAAAGTCGAATTTTTAACTTTCTCGCTTAGTGTGACGGTAATGTGACGGTTTTGACCGTCACGCTTAGTATCTAGGTAGTACCTAGTACCTAGTCGGAGCGGTCGGAATAATACCTAGGCGCGCTATAGGCCGACTATTGGTAACCTCGCTAGGATACTTTTACTATCGTTTTAAGCTAAATTACATAACTATACGTACCCGCTCTATATGTCTAGCTATCTGTCTATCTGTCGGTTATCTATCTGTCTTTATAAGTCTCCCTCCCTCCTATCCCTCCTATCCCTCCTTCCTGTCTCTGTAAGCCTCCCTCCCTCCTGTCCCTTCTTACGTAGGTATATCCCCCTCTCTTTCTATACCTATAAGTCTCTATTCCTTCTACCTATACCCCCTGCTATAAGTAGGTAAGTACGTAAACGTAGAAATAGTAGTAGTAATAATAGCCGGTCCGTCCCTCCTCTACGTAAAGCGATAGGTAGAGGAGGGACGGAACCGGCTTGTAGAGTAGATAAAGAATTATAGAGGGTACTTGTAGGGGGCATTTAAAACTAGGTCAAAAACTGCAAGATTTGACCCCCGTTATGGACCACATGGTTATAGACTACCGTAGTCTATACCTTATGGACTCCGCTCCCACTGGGATATTCCCCACACTTTAAGCGACAAAAATATTTGTAGCCTCGCAGCATATCACATCACATATCCCATTCCCCACATCATTTCAACCCAGTTCACTTTAGCCCCATCTCAAATCCCACACACCGCTCCAATCAACATCACAGAAAAGAATATCATCCACAAACCCTTAGCTTTTCGAAAACCAGTAATCCTACCCATCCATCAGTTCCCTCCTCCCATTCCCAAATTCCCAGAAATTTTGAACCAAACCCCAATCTCCCTCCAGCCCCACAGCATCTATCCGGGACGTCTTCACTAGACCCAACCCCTATAGAACCTTGCACCACTATTCTCAAGGTCCTCTTAATATATAGTACCCTTGCTATAGCCCTACAGTAGCCCTTCGCTTACTCAACTACAATCCACAATCCACAATCCACAATCCACAATCCACAATCCACAATCCACAATCCAAACACCAAAACCCAACCAACCAACCCAAACCCCACCCAGAAATTACAAACAGACCTTCCATCCTGGTCCTAGATCATCATCCCACAAGAACCCCTTACACCACCCAGTATCCATCCCATCAAACAAATCCCTCACTACCTACACAAAAAAAAGCCGTACCACCTATATATCACTGGCCTCAGTCCAGTCCAGTCCACACCAACACGCCCGTCACGCCATACCCCAAATCCAACATCAACTACCCACCGAAACCACAGAAAGATAACATAGGTAACAACTAGTCGGTATTCGAACTATACTTCGACAGAGTTTCCCAAAGGTGGATATGATTACTGCACGAATACATCAAGCTATGTATGGACACATGTTACGTATCCTCACAACAACAACAAATCTTTTACACCTACCTACCTACCCACTCCACTCACGAATCCGCAATCTAATATCGTACACCACGACACAACCCAATTTCTAAATGTTTTTGTATTCATTCATTCCACCTACAAACACACCCACCTCTCTATCACACGTTCTTTTCTTTTCACCCCTCTGCCTGCCTATCTGCCGTACTTTTCAGTTCCCCCACAAATGCAACGTCCATGCAAATCTCAAGTATCAACGAAAAGAAGAAAAGAAAAGAAAACAGACAATCAAGATATCCCTACCAAGCAAAAAACGCCCACCCTCCCAAATGACAAGGAAATCCATCGCATCCCCTCCCCTCCCCTCTCAATACCACGCTCAGTGATTTAAGGGATATCAAAAAGAGGCTTCAGCTTCTTGATCAGCAACCACTCGTCATTACTAACATCCGACCGATAGAACTCCTTCAACGTATCAATACTCGCCCGACTGATGAGCGAGTACAACGTATCCTTTTCCTCAAGATGCCGTCCGTACGTTGGTTGATGGGAGCCCATCTCAATTTTGACGGCAACGGATGGTTGACCTCGCTTGCAGATTGTGAGTTGTTTGTGGTCTCTTTCGATGCCGGTTCTGGGAGTTATGAGTTAGTAAGGGATACGTTTAGGAATTATGGGAGTAACGAGAGATAGAAACGGGTCAACATACACTCTTCCTATACTAACAATCTCCTTGACTCCAGTCACTGTATTTTGTTTGACCGCTGCGATAGGGGTATGCATTCGCAGGTTTCCTTCAACAACATCGACTCCCACAACAATAGGACCCGTCTTGTTGAAGACTGCAACCGGCGTCAGAACGCAAGGGAAGACAGCCAAAAGCTTCGAGTCCTCTTTCTTCTTCTCTGCAATGAGAGCCATGTGTTTCGTGAAAGCGTCAAACAGATGATAAATAATATCCGCAGTGAAGATCTTAATACCCTGTTCATCAGCATACAGTTGAGCTTCTTTGTCAATCTTGACATCGAAACACAGCATCACTGCATACTCCTTGTTCTTCTCCAACATGGTGCCACAGTTCATGACATCACGTTTGAAGACTGGTCCAATACCAACATTTGCAACAGGAATCTTGGACACCTTCAAGAAATCCAAAAGAGCTTCCAAAGATCCCAGGGTTGAGGCTTGAACTGTGACACCACGTCCTGATTTCTCTACACGACTGAACAGAGCACCAAGATCGGATTCGACCTCAGCCTCGATATCGGATTGGTCGTCGTCGGGTCCAACGACCATTAGTCTAGAACCAGCGATAGCACCTTCAAGGCCTGGGGCACTGATCTTCACACCGAGAGCAGCCTTTACCTCCTTGTTGTGGACATACTGCGACTTGAGTCGAAGTTCCTTGAGAGGAGCTGGAGTCAAGAGAGCTCGAACGTTTGTTGTGATCGCACCGTCAACACCACACAAGCAAATCTTGTCACCTTCTCGGAGAATACCGTTCGACAAGATGACATCGATAGTCATTCCAAAACCTTCAATGGCCTTGACCTCCAGAACAGTACATTGAACCTCGGAGAGATACATCAGTGAACCAACCATTCTCTCCTGGGTCAATTGTAGGATCAACTTGAGCATATCTGGAATTCCTTCTCCGGTGTGAGCAGAGGTTGGAACCAAAGAAACAAACTTGGCCATGGATTTGTTCTCGTAGTAAAGTTCAGAGTTGAATCCCTGTTCTGCAAAGGCAATCTTGGTATCTTGCAGACGCTTTGCGAATTCATTCTGAACTCCCTTGTTCTGTAAAGCCAAACTCTCCTGGAAACCATTGTTGTCAACCTTCTTCCATCCATACAGACGATCAATCTTGTTCAAGGCGACAATGAACGGAGTTTTACGATCTCTGAGCAATTTCATTGATTCCAAAGTTTGTGGTTCCAAACCGTGCATAATATCGACAACCAGAATGGCAATGTTACAGAGAGATGAACCTCGAGAACGCAGATTCGAGAAAGACTCGTGACCAGGGGTATCGATAACCAGTAATCCAGGAACCTTGAACTCAAATAGGCCATCTCGGTTGACCACTGCGGTTTTAGTTCTAATTGCCTCGACTGGGAAGTAAGTGGCACCAATTTGTTGAGTGATACCTCCAGCTTCTCCTTCCTGTACGTTTGTTTGTCGAATTTTATCCAAAAGCTTGGTCTTTCCAGTATCGACGTGTCCCAGAATACAGCAAATTGGCGAACGTAGGTTATCTTTCGATCTTGCTGCCATTGCAGCCTCGTGTGCCTTTTCACGTCTCTCGGCCGCCTCTTTCTTCTTGAGAGCTGCAGCAGCTTGTGCAGCACTGGCCTCTTCGTCCTCTGAGGATTCTTCAGACTCTGAATCCGACTCAGATTCAGATTCTTCAACTTTCTTGGATCGAGATGGCAATGATTGCGCTGGTTTTGCGGTGGCTGCCTTTTTAGCAGCAGCTTTCTCTTTCTCCTCTTCCGAATCGGCATCCCAGCTCTCCTTTAAGTCATCCTCACTCTCAGCAGCTGCTTGCTCCCAGTCGTCCAAATCGCTCTCCTGAGCGGCCTCCTTGGCTGCTTCAAGAGCAGCAGCCTCTTTCTCTGCCTTGACTTTCGCCTCTGCAATGGCTTTTTCGGCCTCAACTCGTGCTCGTTCAGCAGCTTCAGCAAGCGCCTTTTCTTCCTCGAGCTAAAGACATGTTAGATAAATCACCTCTAAAATGACCTGAAATCCTACCTTGAGCTCTTCTGGGTTCTTTCGTCCGCCCTTCTTCTTCTTATTATCATAGACTGGCTTTTTCTTCTCACCTCCATTACCACCACCAACTTTGAGACCAGCAGCAACCATCTGCTTCAGCTTCATCTCATTCTTAAGCTTCTCCTCACGCTGAGTCTTGGTAAGATACGTGCCATCTTTCTTCTGCTGCTCAATCTTCTCCTTTTCCTTTTGCTTCTTCAAGGCCTTAGCTTCTTCTCTTCGTTTTTCCTCCTCGGCCTCTCTGCGCTCTTCTTCCTCAATGCGAGCTTTCTCCTCAGCAATGAGTCTGGCCTTTTCCTCCTCGCGTTTTCGGAGAGCCTCTTGTTGAGCTTGGAGTTTCGCCAAATGCGCAGGCAGCTTCTTTGGTATCCCACCCGCGGCAGCAGCAGGCTTCGATTCCTCAACTTTAGTTTCTACCACTGCAGCCTTCGCAGGTTCAGGAGCCTTAGCAGCAGGACCTTGAGCCTTCTTCTTCGCAGCCTAAATCACAAGGTATCAGCAAAACAAGCCTCCCAAAAATCATGAATCCAGGTAAGATCTCACATTCTCCTTCTTCCTCTGCTTCTCCCGCTCCTTCTTCAGCTTCTCCTTCTGCGCCTTCGTCAGAACCTTTCCATCCGCCCCTCTCTCATCATCCCCACCCTCCTCCTCAGCAGGTGCCTTGGCCTCTCCACCCTTCTTCCCCTTCCCCTTCTTCTCCGGCAGCGCAAACTCATCCTCAATCGACGCCTCAACCGGAGCCTTCTCCTCCAACGCAGCAGGCGCCGCATCCTCCGCCATAGGATCCTCGCCCTCGACAAAATCCTCACCCTGCTTCGCCTTCTTCTTCTTCTGTCTCTTGCGCATCATAGCCATCAATCCACCAGCTGGACCATCCTCCTCCTCCTCAGCTGGGGCGGCGGATGCATCTTTGGACTCTGCGACTTCGGCGGTGGTGGGAGCAGCTTCGCCGAGTTCGTTTTCCCAGTCGTCGGCGGCTTTCTTGTTGTTCTTCTTTTTGGGAGGCATTGTGGCGATCTACGATGCGGGGTTCGAATCGAGGTCGTCTGGTTTGGTATTTGGTAGGTTCAGCGTTCAGCGGTAGAGGCCACTCTCTAGTAGTAGCGGCGGAGAAGCTGTATGCTCCCGGGTACAAGTATCGACCACACGATATATGATTTGCACTCGAGAAAACTGCTTCGAGTGGGGGAGCTCTGTATGATATTTCTCGAGAAAGAGAATGATTCGAAGCGGTCGAAGTGGGCGCACGTTTCGACCAAGAGCTCGCACACACAGAATAGGCAGGGCACAAAAGGTTGTGGGAAATTCAACGACGTCTTGGATGTGCGGGTGGGGGTTTGGGGTGATGCCTATTCTTTATCGTTATCGCTTAACTCCGATGTACGTCTTGGCGTTTTTCATGGTCAGCAAGTACCTATTTATTCACTGCCAGTCTTGAAATATGAAGTAAGATTTGATACTTTCTCGTTATTACCTATAGGTATCTAGTAAACTGTAGTCCTGCTTCCAGAATGAATGACTTCTTATTGCATGCTCCTTACATACAAGTAGACTATTAGCACCATCAGTCCTCTAAATTCACCCCTCTAGTCCAAAAGTACACACCATGACCACAAATCTACGGAGTCAGCCACAAAAGCAATCAGAGCTAGACAGCACTAACAAAACCTACCCATGTATCTGACCTCAATTTCAACTTATGATGAGCAGCCAAGCAGACAAAAACATGACCCACTGTTACCCACTCTTTTAAAGGCATTTTCACAAAGTGGCATTCACTAAGCAGATAAAACAACAGTTCATTAACCAAGTACATCAACTGAAAGGAGACAGACACTATCATTCCAAGTATCTCAAGCTCGAAAACTCACTCATTTTACATTCAACAACTCTCAGAGAAGTTGAAACTTCCCAACTATCACAAAAGAAAAGACAGCACAGATAGCAAAGCACAAAATTCAAATTCATGAAGTCAAATTTCATTGTGTAATTAATTCCTTCCACGGAAATAAGCAAGCTACTAGCGAGAAGTTAAAAACAAAAGCCATTGCACTCCTCCAAATCCCTCGCGAAATCCAGTCGTACCATGCCAATGGCAATTAATTAGTCTTGCTGATGCATTGATTGATTGATCAATCCATTTTTCGGTGTGATGTCAGTTTCCATCATCAAATTCGATTCTAGTAAACCCCGCTTGCTTGCTTGCTGTATGTCGACATCGAGAAGAGAGCAAAGGAAAAGAAAAGAACAAGGGAAAAAAAACCGGAAATTTTGTGTCATCCACCCACCCCATCCCCAAAGTCCGTAAGAGTTACATCTGGTATTTGATTGCGACGCGCTTGCAAAAGATTCTTTTCCTCCAATCCCAATATCTATGCTGATGATGAATCGACAACTTTCTGCTTTTTAGGTGCCCCACCAGCTAGACTAGAAGTAAAGAGATCCCAAATCCCCATACCCCTTCCATGCAAATCTGACATAAGGAAAAAAAAAGTCGAGTATGCGAGCAACGCCAATGAACAACCATGAACGCCAGTAAAACGAGTACGTGATGATTTACTTGGCAGTGGCATTAGCAGAAGTAACTTGTGCGGACATGGGGGCCTTAGGGGACTCCCAAGATCGACAGGCCAGCTCACACAATCTTCTAATGACATTGGTGGTACCTGCTCCCGTAGCCTCATCCAGGACAAACTTCTTGGCTACTAGAAGCTTGCTCTTGTTGTCGCTCTCATCAAAGTGAAGAGGGGTATCGTTATTAGTATACTCCTCAACACGGGGACCAATGGCTCGAACGACAGCAATGGAATACAACACGTCTCGATTCTCTCTTCCATCGAGCAAATTTCTGAGGGCAGACAAGGTCTCATCCATCTTCTTGACAGATTCGTGGTCATCCTCTCGAATGCAGACAAAGTCACCAAGAGTATGCCAGAACTCTAGCTCTCGAAGTCGGTGGTGATCAGTGCTTCCAGCAACGGGTGTGGTGAGGGTGTTGACAGTCGCAACATTACCAGTCAACAAGTTCTCAAAGACAGTCAAACGGCTACCGGCTTCAGTTGCATCGTCAATTGGCGGAACAGTCTTAAACTCCTTGGCTCCATTGGTCTCGGCAGCAGTAGATCGGACCAAATTGGCGATAGCCCAAACAATTCTTGCCTCAACACTTGCGGTGTATGTCATCTCCTTCTGGTCGGCACCTTGTTGTGTCTTACTGAATTGGTAAAGGAGGATGGCGAATTGTTGCTTTACTCCGGTGTCAGCGAGAAGCTTTGTAAGACCCTTCAACGAGAACCATTTTGATTCAAGGAAGTTTTCGAGACCGGGGGCGTAGATGCTATAGTACAAGTGGTTTGTCTCTTCTTCCTTGTTGCGGAGGTTGAGGAGTGCAACGGCAGATGGGGGAGGGGCTTCACCAGCGAGGGCAAGAAGTTGGGCAACAGATCGCTTGGCTGGAGTAATTGTCAGCATTGCTCCCAGTTAAAAAGTACAATTGAACGTGAGATGGCAGAGGAAGCACTCCTTGCGCACCCCTGGACTTGGGGGGATTGTAGATGAGGGACTTCCCGCTTGCGTTCCATCCTTAGAGTATTTATGGAATTACGACATACCTGGAGTTGAGACGTAGCCACCTGGGCCTGCGGTGGTTGAAGATGCTGCTTGCAATGCAGGATCAATGGCCGATGCATATTCGTAGCCTTGGTTGGCAGAGCCAGGAGAGCTGACGCCAGCCGAGGGAGATTGTTCATAAGCCATATTTGAGGGCATTCCGTAACCGCTCATCTGAGGTTGATGGCCGTAGGGGTTTGCAGAGGATGAGGTACCCGGTTGACCTGGAGCAGAGCTTGGTGCAGGTTGGAGTGGTGCAGGGTTATTCTGTTGTTGCTTGAAGATGGGATCGTAGCCCTGGCACTCACGCTTGGATTTTTGACAATTGCGGCAGGTTGGGTGTTGTTCATCGCACTAGGGCAGCACAGTGTTAGCAATCGCTCCCAACAATTATCCAAAAAGGTAGGCGACGATAGTGAGGTGGTGAATACAGGCTCTGGGGTGGCGGTGATAATAGGACTCGAGCGACGGCTGTGGTTGATAGGCGCGTCTGGAGGTCTCGTCTCTTTTTGACGCTTCGCTCCGCTTGAGGGTAGCAAGCTCATGTGCCTTCGCCTAGGACTTTAGGTAGATTCGCTTGTAATAAACGAAAAGAGCCCATCGCGAAAGCACCGTAACCTCGTCCCGCTTCTAAACGAACCCTCAAACCCGCAGAGTGCAAAAAAACGACGCAAGCAAGAAAACACCACGAGTACTGACCTTGATTCGGCGCTTGCGGCATGTCAGGCAGCCCGTCTTTGTACGACGCTTGATTTCCTACGAACGATGGCACGTCAGCAACGTCTGGCCAGCGGCAAATGGGTGAGAGCGAGAGGGACACATCCATCGAGTGCGAGGCAGATGCCCCCGAAGCCCCTCGAGCGAGCGCCCTCTGCATCCACTGCCCATCGCTCATCACCGTCGAGTCCTTCCTTACCTTCTTGTGTCGTCCGCCCGACATGACTCTCGAATCGCCGACGGGCAGAGCGTATCGCATGTTGGGGCCGTTGGGATCAGAAGTGACACCTCCGTAGGGATGGGGAAGCGTGGCGCCTGTGTTGTGATAATAAGGACCTGGAGGAAGACCGGAGTTCATGGTGTGCAGTTGCTGAGGTTGCTGCGGATGGTCCAGTGTGCGCATGCTAGGGAGAGACGAACCGTTGCTGCCGGTGGAACTAAGGTTCGCGCGATATGCTTCACTCAGGGCGGACGCGGCGTGGGTGTGTGAATGCGGAGTGGTCGTGGTGGAATTAGGGTGGTTGAGAGTAGCGTGGAAGGAGTGGTTGGGTGGATGGTTTAGGTGGTTTAGGTGGTTTGGGTGGTTTGGGTGGTTTAAGTTGGCGGTAGCAACACTCTGCGATGGGTAGGACCTCGCCCTCGAGGCTAGAGCCGGGTCAGGAAATTGCGACAGTGAGCTTCCAGGCGGATTTTGCAGTGCATGCGACATCGAAAGTGAAGACGATGCCCTGAAAATCTACTCGTTGCCCGATGCTTCAGACAAAAACAGTGATGTGATGCAGATTTCAGGTTCAGGTGAGGTGTTGACCTTAGACAGTCGTGACTTTTCAAGGGCCGACGTTCTGTTGCTGCGCCATTCCTTCAAGACCACCGTCAGACGCGCTTTTAGGTGGTGGCCTTGCCTGGATTTTTTTTTCTACACCTAACACCTAAATCTTAAGCAACTCCCAGACAAAGCCAATGTCAGCGCTCACCAAAGCTCGCGTATATTCCAATCTGCCCCTCGCCTCGTGCTCGTTTAAATGTATCTATCTACAACCGATCGGTTCGCTTCAGTAGGCGAGGCGAGCCTTTGGCTGGCTGGTGGATCTGGGGCTTAGGTGGTTTGCGTGCACTTCCTTCTGCCGGAGCGAGAAACGAGAAACGAAGCGACGAGGAACGGCACTACTGGTATTTCGCACTGGTGGTGCTCCCCGGAATCGGCCAATTGAGCGCCTTTCTTCATCAGGGGAGTTCCAGGTTCAGGTGCACATTCTTTCCACCGCACTGCTCGAGCCTTTCCACCAGCTTTCCACGCCACGCTATGCCTAATGCCGTATGCGCGATGCAGAGCAGACCTGATATACATACGGTAGGTACAGCAGGTAATCTCAACTCATACGAGTCCCTTTCCGTGCGCTACTTTCTCTCCTCTCATTCATCTAATTGCAACCAGCCCTGCATGAGTTTGCGCACGTTAGAGTATCGTGCTTCCCTTCTTTATGCTATATATAAAATACACGAGAGGCATGCAGATTCGGATCGGCTGCCGGATCTGCCTGGATTTATGCTATTCCCAGCCAGCCCGCCCCGAACTGTTTATCCGCCTCCGAGAAATGCCGACCTCCGTGGGTTGGTAGCATTTCTATTAAGTAAGGTACCTTTTTCTTTTCCATACCACTCGGTACCCTACAATGTTGATTTCGCAATGCAAAGTTGTAGTGACAGACGAGGCCCGATATTGTACTGGCTGTCGCTTGGGTTCGAATGATTGAAAAGGAGGTACCATACCTAGGCGAAGGATAGTGAAATAGCCCTGCAGGTAGGCATGGAATGGTTGGAGTTTTTAGACGCGCACGTCAGCTGACTCGGTTGGGACCCCCAACCAGTGCCTAGTGGAGGTGGCAAGAGGTCGCACTGACGGAATTAAATGCATCTATACTATAATCATTAGACTTTACTGATTATATCTATCTTGCTAAAAATCGGGGGTTTAAAAGATCCAATCGCTTCACAACTCTTAACCATCTATCTTAATTTCATTGTCCAAGGATACGTCTCGTTTATTTTACGCGAAGGGGAACGCAAAGCGAGATACTCGCCTCCCTTTCTTGGCTCGGCTTCTAAGCGACGGCATGTAACCACGTAATTCAAGCGACATAGATCTCTATGTGAGTTATACAGGCGGTGTTTCGGGGAATTAGCTATATGCTCTACATATTCGATTACCACTCGTAACTAGAATATCTGGGTATAAATCAGAGGGTTAAATTCTCGCGACCCGTAAATCCTTCAACATTCAAAAAGGGAGAGCTGTATTTCACCCGGCCGGCGCTTTCACCTACCATAATTCATATGGCTTGCTGAACCTCTTTTAATGATTCCAGCGATTCTCCCTTTTCCGTCCAAATATTGTTCAAGATTCGAGGGTGAATGACGTCCTTCTAGTCTAGAGCGGTTCCCATGCTGGGAAGGAGAAACGTACGGCCTTGGAACTTTTTCTCGGGCGCGTTGGTATTTTACAGATAGAGGTATCTGGTACATACAGTACATCGCTATCAGTGGAGGAACTCTTGACCGTCGTGGGATCAGCTGTATGGGTCTTTGTGAGCCGTCTCTCTAATCAATTTTTTTAGTTCTGTTGAACTTGGGTAGGTCTACGGAGTGGCGAGGCTTTGATTTCGGCTGCGCTTTGAGGGCGTATTGTGGTCTGGGGGTTCGGTCGTGGAGATGGCTTCGCAGAAAGAAGAGAATAATAAGACTTGAATAAACATTTCTATCTCTAATTTTGCAAAAGGTATTGGCTATGCGGTATATCTAATACGCTATTTGGTTCCCGTACTAGAGATCTATTAAAGCGGAGACTATTCTACTAAGCTAGTAGCTCTATACAATAGTTATGGAAATAATGATACCACGATTCGTCTTATATACAGCCGCTTATCTCAATCTTACCACAGTCCCAGATGAGCAATATTTCATACAAATGATTAGCGATTAGTTTCTTACCTGGAGCTTTGAAGGATATAGACGTGGAATTCTATAGATTGGGATACTAGCGTGGATGTAAATCCCAAGTTAAGGTAGGGAAGCGGTCGATGGCTTTGATTGTGAGCGCGATACTGGTTGGGCGGGTATATGAACTCGTAATTCTCGTGTGTGGGTTGATTGAATTGGAAATTTGGTGCGTGGTTTGGATGCGGTTTGATTGAGAGGTGTGAGATTGAATATGAGGCTTTTAGATAAAAAGAATGTGGAGAATAGAGGGAGATACAGTATGAGGTAATAGCCTACCGGTAGATATATGAGAATTGAAGACAAGAACGTGGGAGGAAAAGGGTTAATAAGATAGATTTGTAGGTCTTTTTTGGTGGGTATATAGGCAGATTATAGAAATTCAGAAAGTAGTTAGTTAAAATAGTAAAGTTTAGTAGAAGAACTGAGTAGATATTTTCATAAATGCAGTTATTTCATAGTAGCCAGAGATGCAAACCAGCCTAAGAACGAAAACGAGAAGAGCTTTACGTAAAGAAAAACCCACCAGTCGCTCTACCGACCCTTAGAACTCTCTCCAGCCTTACTTTTAGCGGTATCCAATCTACTTTGCCAGCCAACCGACAACAACCGAGAATCTCCAGAGTCAGAAGACTCAACCGGCGGCACAACATCCATAAAAGTGCGTTCTTCTATTACATCCTCACAATCAACACCCCTTCCCTTCATCCCCTTCCTACTTCCACCCCCCAAACCCACATCACCAATCCCCACCCTCTCCTCAAAATCTCCTCAAAATCTCCTCATCCTCCCTCATCTCCTCCAACCCCGTCTTCTCCTTCCCCCTCCCCTCAAGAATCCGCCTCGACGTCCTCTCCGCCGTCTCCCCACCGGAACCGGCCACGCCACCGGCTTCAGGATACAAGTCGTAGACGCAGAAATGGGATTCCTCGGGTGTTGTGGGGACGCGGAAGGGGAAGGGGATGGAGCGGCGGTAGGTGAGCATGATTCGAGGGGTGAAGGATGGGATGGTGGAGAGCCAGTTGAGGATGTGGGTTTTTTGGTTTGATTGGTGGGGGACTGTTGCTAGGTTTTTGGGGGTTAGAGGAGTTGGAGCGTTTGAGGGAGAAGGGGTTGGGAGACGTGGAAGGGGTTTGTTGATGTTTTTGGGGTGGGTACTCATCTTTTTTGGTGGTGCGTAGGGGTTCTTAGTCTGGACCCTTTTTCTAATTGGGGGGACATGTGGTTTGTTGTATAAAGGGATTGTTTGGATTGTTCTTTCAGAGTCTTAGGAAGAACAGTGATTGTTCTTTCTTTGTGTTTACATCGACTTACTACAAAGAATTATATTTTCATAGTGGGCCTCCATCGCCTTTGATAAGGAAATGAACTTCACACAAAGAACAAATAAGGCCATTGTTACTATCACACTTTAGGAGTTACATACGTGCTAAACATTTGAAAACTGAACTATATTCTACGAAAGTGGAGAAGAAATACCGAAGAGTTATATCGATATCTTCGTGTACGCTAAGCGAGACAGTGTTTTGGTATACGATTGTGACGGCCCCAACAGCTCTAGACCTCGATATTCTATCTCTAATCTACTATACTCCATATAAAAATCCCTATTCCTCTTCATCCACTGCAAGAACCATCTAAACTACCAGTCTCTTCTCCCTACTCAAATATTCTTTCATAGCAGCCTCTTTCACCTTGCGGTCCTCAATATACCTCTTAAACAACCTAATACCAGTCTGAAAAGCCGTTTCAGATAGTTCTCTCCTATACTCGTTCTCTTTTTTACAACCACATACGTGGTACGAAGGGATTTCTATGGTGAAAGGTGAAGCAGTCTCCGGGGTAAAAGGGTGGGGTTGAGGTGGGAAAGGGGGGGTTTGCTTCGCCCATTCTCGGATATTGCTTGTGTGCTTGTAGGTGATGTCGGTAGTGTATTCCATGTTGGCTTTTTCTTCTGAGGGGATTTCAAGGGATAGTTGGAAAGGATGGGAGGAAAGTGGAAGTAATGCGGCTTTTAGATTGGATTCTTAATATTTGTTCACTGTGTACTTGTTCGTTATGTTCGAGCTAGCTAACTTGTGCTTTGTCTATTTTTGATAAGCCAAGTAGATGTTCCTTTGTTCATTGTGGACATTGTAGTAGAGGCATATTGCGGACAATGGTATTTTATACCTAAGTCTAAGCTTATTCCAAATAAGTGGGGTGACCTGGAGAACTTCAAGTGTGAATCGTGATTATCAGCTTTCGGAGGCAGCGGTGTCTCCTCGATCACTTGAGTATCTTCTCCATCTCAAAGTGCCTCTCTAAGTCGTCAATCCACGAACCGATCATTCAAACCCACTAATTCCATAGATCCACCTATAGTATCCATTTACCCTCCAAATCACAATCGCTCAGCTCGCCCAGCTCGTCTCAAAGACCTCCCACAAACATCAACCTCATCCGCCATTTGCTTAGCGACATACTCCCCAAACAACCTCTCAGAAGTCTGCAAAGCGGTCTCAGTACTCTTCAGCGTCTCAGTAGGACGGATACGAGTAATATATGCACGAGAGTAACTGTTCGTGGGGTAGTTAGTAGAAAATGGGTGAGGTTGTCTAGGGAAGTTGGGAGCTTCTTTTTCCCATGAAAGGATATTAGTACGGAATCCGTAGAGGGCAACCATTGTAGCAGTATTTGCCGTGGGTGTTTCCCAGTTTCTTTGAGAATTTTATAAAGACATCGGTAGTATTTGTTTATTATGTGTTTAGCTGTGCTTGATAGTCCCTATATATTTGTTCGCTATTTGGTACTTGTGAGAATTTAAAACAAAGAAATATTAAGAGGGTGAAATTTACTTAGCCTTTTCTTTGTTCATTGTACATTGATTGTCCTGTATCAGGCATTTGACGTAGAGTAAACTTGGCATGGAAGCTACCCAAGCCAAATTCCGACAAAATCATTTGACTCAACCCAACTCGTTAGTAGAACAGCGTAAAACTTCACCGTATTTAGTACCTATTACAATGTGTACTAGATTAAAATCCATGGATTGCTGCTAATTTCTGACTATGTACATGTAGAATGTTATTTTGTGTGATCTCGCATGACGTATTGATGATGATCGGTCCAGCACCGCGAGAAAAAGGGGAAATAGAAGCAATATGGGCGGGTATGAGTTATGCGCAAGAGTTAGCCGCAGATCGCTCATATCGACCGAAGTTTAACGCAGTATCCAGATAATCTATTCCAGGACGGTAAAACGAGCGAGGTGTTCAAGCTCGATCATACTGCGAAAGCAACCACTATCTGCTAATCTCTTAAGATCTTCCTCACTTTGCCTGGCCCGAATGATACTCGCCCACTCTAGACCCAGATCGACGGGTTTCTCCATATACGCACTCCGGTGTTCCTCACCCCACGGAAACTCTTCGTCCCACACCTTTCCGCTGGCCATTGCTATGCTCATACCTAGCTCGGAATACTTTTCAAGAAGTTGCTTACATGCCTCGTACTTCTCGGAACCCTCTACGTGATTCCTAAATGGATTTTGGGACACGATGCAGTCAGTAACAAATTTTCGTAGTAGTGAGTCCTTAGGGCAATCCCGATACACCCGTTCAACGAAGCCAGGGATAGGAGATTGGTTTCCATGGTCACGGTAATGAATGCTCACACGCTTGCGTAAGGCGTCCATACAGCGATTCTTTATTGTAGAGCATTGCAGAAAATCCGCGAGAAGCCATTCTTCGCACAAATTTGGTTTTTTCACCTCGATAGGACTGCGGAAACCGTTTTGGCTATACAGCCTTGAAACTTGGAATGCCAATACGGCAGGGTCAACTTTCGGTAATATGAGTTTGTTGTCTTCGGGGTCTTGCGCTTCCAGGGGCTCGCGGATTTTCAGGCAATATATCATTAGGAGGTCTCGATGTAATGTAAACATTTGTCTATCAGTGCCGACGAGAATATTGACCGTACTGCCAAATGTTATAATCCTATAGAGAGAAGGTTAGCGCTGTGACTCTAAACAAGATGACTGAATCTATCATCTTTACCTAAGAGTCATTGAGAGTTCCGCTTTTTTTGTAAGTGCCTTGCAGGACTCATCGATGGAATGCTTGCCGCATGGGCATAGCTTGGGTGTCTATTTTCTTGGAAGGAGGATTCACGGGTGGAGCGTCGTGGTCGTTTGCTTTTCTCTTTCGAGGGACAGTGCCAGGCATCTTGCTAGGATTCGTGCCAGATATCGTACGAGGCATCGTGTTGGTTTATGTTGTAGATGAGATGACTGAAGTAGAAGTAGAAGTTGAAATTGATAGCCGCGAGATGCGAGGCCCCCAGAAGTGAAGATATGGTGGCTGGTACTGTAAAGTGAATGTCAAAAGTATGTCCAGCTGCGAGTGTACAGCGCACACTTCAGCTCCTATCGAGGTGTTGCTCAACACAGCGGGGTATCATAAGAACACTTGTCGTTGTTCTTCAAGAAGTGGCTTGTGAGGTGATGTGGTCGTGGATGGAAGTAAAGGTGAGAAAGAGGACCCCCAAGAGCCAAGAAATAGTTACGCGAGTCTACGCAAAAAGGGCAGGAACGACACACACATAGTTTTCAGCCCGTCGAAACTTGGCTTCAAAGTCCAAGGTGTCGGAGCATAGGAGACAATATCTGATGGAGTCAATATTATCTTAAATGCCATGAAAACTCCCCGACTCGATACTTCACCTCTGCCATCCATGTTTACTTCGCTTTTGAACGTACTACTATTTTTTACATACAGAGGAACAGCAGTCTAATCCATCAAAATACTATTCCAACGATTACCATAACAAATATCTAACATACAACCTCCAACCATTCCAAATCCCCAAACCAATTAAACACGTTACCCTATGGATATTCAACATTCTACTACAAACAACACCATCATCCCACCTCTCCATAACACACCCCTCAATTGTCCCCCAATGCCATCTCCCCAAAAGCCCTCCGTCGTTCTTCCTACGGTATTAAGGGACTTCTGCGATTTGCGATTACTAGCTAGTCGTTTTTGGTCTAACTGTACAAACAAGATGCAGCGCTCGGCAACCGGAATTCCATTCCAGTCCATACCCCCTATTCCATAGAAGTTCCATAGAACCGAATCACATGACCCATATAAAAGTCCGTCCGCTCCGTTGAATCAATAGGAAGCCTAGATTTTGTACGAAAGGTAGGTACGTGCCTCCTCGGTACACGACTTATTATAGGCAGGGTATAACTCTATATTGAAACCCTCTAAGCTAATTAGATTGTCCGGTTTAAGTCGAGGTTTATCAGAAACTGACAAAGGGGGGGTGGTAACGACCTGAGCTGTCCAGAGCCTTTAGTTAGAATATAAAGTTCTAAATACTAAGTAAACAAGGCCTAATTAGTATTTACTCCTCTCAAATACTGCTCTCTGATTGATCAGAATATTAGCCTCTGGAATTCAATTCACCATGGAACTCCAGAGGCCTTTTAATAGAATACCGGTATTCCATTCCTTTTTAGAGGTGCTCTGGAATTATTCCATATGGAATGGTAATGCTGGAATTCCATGGAACAGGTTATATTTGCCGAGCGCTGACGGGATGCAGTACTATCTTGATCTGTCTGATCTTCTTGAAAATATTGAGAGTTTCCTAGTACTAATTATAATAGTAGTAGTAACTTAAATGTCGTAACAGAGGATTATAGCTTATTATATAAGATTTTCCTATTCCGTCTTCCTTCCCGAGGCTTCCTCCCTTCCTTTCATGTTAAAAGAAAAATCTCGTTCTGGTATTTGTGCTAGTTGTATAGACTCTATATAAGAGACTTGAACCAAAAGTCTTTACAGGAATCGTTATAAGTCCCTCAGACACTTTCAAACTCTTGTAGTCCCTTCGGCGATTTTACGAATTATGATTGGTTGGTTAGATGGTCTTAAGTATGTAGCAGAAGGGAAGCAAAAATAATACACTTTTCAAGAATGCTTTTGTACCTGAAAAGAAAGGGTGAACGTTGATGTCTTTAAGCGTACTACCTTTTTATAAAGGTGGTAGTTTTATCTACGCATCATTAGCACAGAATCTTGAGTATGTACTTCGCAAACCTCCAAGCGAATTTTTATCCTGTTTGACGATTTGAGAATATAGTGTGCCGCTTGTATTTCTGGCGCTACTTCTGTCAAGTCTCCTGGGACCTTAATCCACTCTAGAAGATCAGTATGAGTATTAACGAATACAATAGTTGGTAGGTTAATATACTCAGATGAGAATTTCCCTGTGTCTTTTAATGGTCATTGGATGTAGTATACACCTCAACTTAAAACTTGCCATCTCAGAGCTGAAAATCTTAAGGGTGTTAGCAATTTCTTAAAGATTCTAACAAAGGCAGTTATTTTAGCAGAAAAAGAGTTTGGTGTTTGATTTGATATTGGATTGGGGTCTATTGATTTGGTAATCCATAGTCTGGATTATCTGGTTTTGTAGCTCCTTTGTGGGTTTTGCATAACATGTTAACAGCTTAATTCGCAAGGTTCAGAACTTTGTTCGTTGCTTCGCCTACAGCCATATATTATGTTCAGCTCTAAAGGCGTGTCTATGATACTTAAGCATTGTACTAGATGATATCAAAGATTTGGGGAAATTTGTTCATGGATTACACCAATACTTCGCAAACCATCTTGGCTATCCCAGGTTAATTGGCAAAGTCCTTGGTATCCCAGGTGTACACAGCGCAAGGCTACTACTGCCTTTTGTACCATGCAGTTATTTTGTCTCTTGATTTCCTTTATAGTACATTTAACTTACGCAACGTAAATGAAATTTCTTACATTTTTTGTTGACTCAGGTCAATCGCTTTGGATCTTTCCCCCCTGGCTGACGGACGTGGCGTCCAATGGCTGCTTACGCATGTAAGAAATACGTTCTTCGCCAAAAGGTTGCTGGTATTGCAACCCTACGATTATCTCGTTCTCAGAAGGCGGGGTGGTAAAAAGGGGGTGTGGAGGCGCGAGGGGGCGTGATTAGACATCATCTTGGATTTCGTCATCATATATCTTCGAGGTCGGCGACCTAGCTATCTAAACAGGTAGCTTTCCACGATGTGAATCTTTGGTTTTGAAGAAGGTGGTGTTTGCGAGATTTCATATCTGATGACCGACTTCGCGGGTTTTATCCTGATGAGGCTCCCGAAGGGAGGTGGATTCGTAATATGGTTGGTCATGCGTCTTACGGTGTCATTGGGTTTGGGGTTTTGATGGTTCTCGGCTAATTTGGTGGACTTCGTCGTGGCATAGATCTAGATATATCAAAATCATTTTTAACAACGATACATCGGCTCTCTCGGTATTAAGATATAGAACTAACTTGGTTGGGTTATTGCTCTTGTTGGTTTTGAGTAGCTTCTAGTAGACTTCATCGCTAGATGGTGATCTACTGTATGAAGTTGCACAAAAGAAACACACTTTGTATTAGATTCAAAAATTCAAATAATTCCAAAGTAACTTTCTCTCATACAGAGGCAAGAGTGGGGGATTTTCTTGAGCGCGACTAACTTCAAAGAAATTCCGCACAACAAGTGTATAAGACATACACGCAGTGTTACTTTACAAATTGACATTGGAGATTATAAACAGTCATAATTAAGCTTCAGCCAAATCTTCATGTACTGTACACGTATATTGATGTGTATAATGTCAAATGGTCTGAGACGTGCAAGTGTTATTTGTGAAAAATAAGGACAATTAAGAAATAGACGTTCAACATTGAAAGTTCAATCCCTCTCAGATGACAGCCTCACGTTCTCACAGACACTCTCACATTCCCTATAGTAGACTAGTTGTATATATGGCAAGCACTAGGTCTCTTACATTTCCTTCTTACGATAATAGTTGTTTTGGAACTATCAGATTTAGTCTGGGAGTACGCCCCAGACAACTCCAAAATCCTCGTTGGAAATTCTTGTAATCTACTGCGAACTAATCGGTGGAGCTTCTCGTAATACGTTGGATATTTGAAAGTCGAGTATGTAATTCAATGACCGAAGCTTCTACGGTGCTTACTTGGACTATGAGCTAGCTAGAACATGAAGGCCGCCCTAGCTAGCCTCATATATAAAAACCACAAGCATTCAACTTTAGGGCACTAGTCCCTCACTTTCTCACTTTTTCTCACTTATGAGTTCAACAAAATATTTAAAGCTAGAAAGGACACATTCTGTAGACAATAAACCTCAGACAGCCTTCCTACCATCACTCGATTTCAAGACATCACACTTACTCCTTCTTATCCCTCGTGGACATCACATCTCAACCTCAGCCATACCCAACTTCAACACCAGCCCCCCTCCCCCTCCCCCTCCCCCAAAAAAGCCAAAGAACAATCTGATGAAGCCCACAAGAACCACACAACACCCACCTAGGATACCTCAAAATCCACCCTCACCAAATCACAAGACATTCTAGTTGTGGAATCACTTACCCCTTATCCCTCGTGGGCTCCACAATCAAAGAAAGAAAAAAATGTAAATTAAATCTCACTCCACCTCCGCCAAAACAAACCAAAGATAAGACAAACAAACACCAAGACTCGCTCAAAAAAAAAAATATAGAATACCACACAAGCCATCTCCCCATCTCATCTCCACTACCCCTCTCCCAGAAATCCCCTTCCAAAGCAGCCCAAGGAACGGGATAGACAAGACAACCAAATCGATATTCCACGTGCGCATCTCAACGCGTACGGGACCGTAACCCTGCGTCTCAGCACCACAAACTAGCCAGCCAGCCAGCCAGCCGCCAACGCTGAACATGACGACGGAGGGGTGTGGTGTGTAGCTGAGGGCAGGAGGTGTTGTAAGAAATGCAGCACACACGCCAAGATATCTTGGATGGAATCAGGAATCACCCCATTTCATCTCAAGCCAGCCATGCCAGGCGCATGCCTATCAAAGAGGGCGCTGAGGAATCCAAGGACCTGGTTCACATGCAGGGAAAGTAACGAGGGCAAGAAAAGGGTAGAAACAGATGTAAAAGGATGACGAAGAAAGTCAGGGAGGTGGATGTCGTTTCCGAGGATATGGTTTTCGAAGGGAGGGAAGGGGACCATCATCAATCAGACTTTAGAGTCATCTACATCATCACTGCTCCCGTGTTCCCCGAAAGGAAAATACAGTAGGTAGGCTTACAACAACGTTCACCCCGTCCAATCGAATCCCCCTCCCCCGCGGTGCGTAGATGTGATGTTCAAAGCGTCGTCA